TAATCATTCTGGTAGAAATAAAAATATTTTAAAGAGATACTTATGCCCCTCCCTCTGACTATTAGACTATTTGGTCTCCAAGGAATAAGAATTCCTTCCAAGAAATCTCATCCTGGGAGGAGAAAGTTGAAGCTTGATGCCAGCCAGAGATGGGACTTCTCTCTCAGGAAAAGATTTTACAGTTCTAACAACTTGTCAGGCCACCTTGAAGGACTAAACTTGGAGTCTAAACAATGATGGGTCAAGACAGGCTGTATCACACGTTAACTGGGACTGCTTACATGCCTCTTCCCCTCTATTTTAACCTAAACCTCACATCAGTATCCTGAATGATGGACTTTGTGGGGAAGGGGATTCACCAAACCTCTTCAATTCTCTAATGTGTTTCGTCTGCCACCTGCTTTTACCACCCACACCCTGTCTCCAGAACCAGGCAAGGCAGGCTTCCAGAGTTGTATACTCTTTCAGAGTCAGCCTTGGCATCCCTGTCCAAGAGCAATGCTGTGGCCACAGGGCTTGAGTCATCAGTGGTCCAGGCCTGATTGCTAGGGCCTCACTGACCCAATCCCAGGGCCAGTAACACTCTGAAGTTGAGACAAGGAAGGAGAATAAATGCTGGTCAGCAGGGATGGAGGGAGAGGTTTTCCAAGAATCCAGATTAAAAGAACAGAAAGTGTCTATGATAGGGGATGGTCAGGCTCTGCACAGCTTGTAGTTGACCTGACTAGGACAGCAAGGGAATGAAGATAAATACATGGGTGCACTGAAGATCTGGGATCAGACAGTCTGGGCTGTCCAGCATCGTGAAAGCTCACTGTGTTTATTATATACAGTTGAATAGAGAGGCAGGGTTTTTAGATAAACAAGGAGGCAGGTTTAGATAATCTCTGTAGGAGAGCAGACTTCAGACCTTACATATCTGGAGGAAGAAAATTACAATGGATATTTTTCTGCACTCATTATCAACATTCACACTTGAACCAAAGGAAGACATTGCCATCCCTCTGAGCCTCAAGGGCATAGGCACTATTCCCACAAGCTTGAGGTTTTAGTCCGTGATATGGCCAGCTCAACAACACACACCCACTCAGAACTTCCCACACTCAGAGCTCCCTCTTTCCCCTGTGCGGCAGGATGAGGGTACTACACTGGATTCTGACGGGGCTGCATATGTCCTACTTTCTGGTTATTTCAAGGACAAGGTCAGCCAGTACAAATATCCAGAGAGAGAGGCTCCTTGCCCTCTGGACTTTGAAGTGGCTAGGGAAAGGGAAATTGGGAGATTCATTGGCAAGAGAGGACAGAAGTGTTTGGGATTACTGTTTCTGGGACATAGGCAAAGTCAGTTACTACCCAAGATGCAGCCAGTTAGGGGGAAAACAACAAATGCAGGCAAGGATCAGACTCCTCCTCTCCCAGTAAGAGCAGCAACTGAGAGTTTAAGATTCTGGGAGAGGACGGGTATCATTCCTACTTTGTGTTTTGCTGCTGGCTAGCACACATTCCGCTCCCTGTGCCCCTAGAACAAAGGCTCAGAAAGAAACTAATATTAAGTGCACGCAGATCTGGGGTGCCAGGAGAGGGGCACCAGGCACTCTAAGGGCTTCTTGGCATCCAATATGTTTCACAACGTCCCCTGGGTCAGCTTAATGGGCTTGAAGGTTGGCTGCTTGGCTGACATGTCTGAAAAGGTGTCACTCCACAACCTGGCAGGCTCTGTAAAGGACACCACTTTGCCTTCTTGGGTGGGCATGAAGATCTCCCTGCTGTTGGTGGCACTGCTGCTCTTCTTGCCCTAGTAGACAACTCTGAAGAAAGTGGAGCTGTCATCTCTAGAGGTGTGCAGTCATATTGCCCTGCCATCAGATTCCTCAGCAGCCTTTGGTTCCAGTCTACTTGGCTTTGTAATTACCGAATCCAGGTGTCTTAGCTTAGTTCTGGTTACTGGGCCTGGTCTCTTAATCCTACCTTGGGTAACATGAATACAGGTGTGAGCTACCATGCTGAACTGATAATGAATAATTTAAAATAAATGCATCACATTTCTTTACTTATTTGTGTCTACATGGGGGTGGGGTGCAAGTGTTATGACATCTGTATCCTAAGTCTGGAAGACTTAGGGATCGAACTTAGGGGATCGAACTCAGGTAATGAGGCTGGGAGGCTCGTGCTTTTTACTCAGTCAGAGCAGTCAGCTCTCTCTCTGACTCCCAAACTACAATCTTTGTTGCATGCTAGTAAAATTGGAAGCAGATAGAATAAAACAAAATAATATAATTTAAACATTTCTGAAATCTTGAGGTGTTGTAAAACACCAAAGTTGTGACACCTAGGTTCACCTAAGCACTAGCCCATCATAACATCATCAAAACAATGTCTGGTAAAATGAGAACAGATTTATTTGCCATAAAACTTGGCCTATTAGAAGTACTAAGCAAAAAATCATTCTCTCGGCCTTTGATGACCCAAGTCATGCTACAGCTAATTATTTACTACAATCTATTAATGCGTCAATCCCCCAAACCCATAGTTGTGAAACAGACCTGTTACTCCAGCACATCAGTTCTAAGTCATTCTCAGCTCTACCGGGAATTCTAAGCCAGGCTAGTCTACCCAAGACACTGTCTTAAAAAAAAATAAATAAAACAAATCAACAAGAACAAGAAAAAAATCAAAATTAACCCATCTAAAAAAACTTTAGTTCCTTACTTGAACAGCAAGGATAAAACAAAAACAAAACAAGACAAAAATACAAATGCTACAGTTTTAATTTACTGTAGCTGTTTGTTTCTATTGTTTCATTTTTTTTTCTCCAAATCTTGATTATGTTAAGAGTTTTTGTGAACTCTTGGTAAATGAATCTACTGTTATGATCTTGAAGAAGTGGCATACAGCCTGGTGGTAAGGCCTAACATGTGTGCAATTTATACTGAACATATTGAACATCACTGATATACAATAGTAGGTAAGTCATTTTTTTCCTCTATGGTTCTCCACCAACATAATTCAATTACAGTATTATTTGAACTCACACTTGACTAGTTCAACTAGAAAATAATAATTTTGCTATCCCTAAAAGCAAAAAAAAAAAAAAAAAATAGCCATTGATAACATTTAGAGTAGGAGTAGTAAAAGAAATAGTCCAGTTGTGGCAAGATGACAAGAACACAAAAACCCACAAAGCACAACTGAAAAGCAAATGTGTTATAATTTACACATTTTAATCTTTAATAATACATATACTATAGAATACAGAAAAGATACACTGAAAGTTTTGAAGAGCAATAGAAAACGAAAAACAATCGAAAGGCACCTCACTGATTCTGTTATGAGCTGTGTTTAAAGGACTAAGATGAAACATTTCCAGTTTATCATTGTTTAAAACTTATTTTGCTGTTACTGCTTTATATTATAATCTAGGATCTCATGCTCTACTTTTGGGGTATATACCCTTAGCTCTTAGTAATTTACATCTCAATAAAGGTGTATAAAACGATCATGATACCTGCAAAAGTACTCAATAATGGGAATTCAGAGATGATTTAGTTATACTTTCTAACTTTGAAGATTTTATAGTTCAAAGGAGAAGAAAAGCACAGGTGAAATAAATAACAAGGATTATGACAAAACAGAAACCGATTATGAGGATCCTTCCTTGATGATATTCTACTTCTCAGTAAAACTGTGCTTGCCCTACAATCCAGGCATTGGTGGTACATGCTTTTAATCGCAGCACTCGCGAGGCAGAGGCAGGTGGATCTCTTTGAGTTCAAGGCCAGCCTGGTCTACAAAGAGAGTTCCAGGACAGGCTCTCACAGAGATCTGTCTGCCTCTGCCTCCCAAGTCGCAGCACTAAAAGCACCACCACTGCCTAACCTATTTTGGATTTTTGAGACATGGTTTCTCTGTATAATAGCCGTGGCTGTCCTATCACACATCGGCCCTACCTACATTTTTGTTCCGTAGTATTTTGATCCATCTGCATAAAAATGTTTTGATAATCTAGATAATTCCTCAGAGAAAGAGTAAAAAAAAAATCTTTGAGTCCAAGCGGCATGAAAAGCTGTTGATGTGAGAATAATTGCAAATGGGAAATGCAAATTCAAGCATTACATAGATGATTTAAAAATATATATTTGTATTTTGAGTCAAAGGGAATTTACTGATTAACGATGGGTTTTAGTGATCACTTAATTTGTGCACACACACTATATATAGAAAGGAGATGGGTCTGTGGGTCTGTTCCTTTTTTTTTTTTTTTTGGAAACAGGGCCTCATGTAGTCCAGTTTGACGTGGAAATCCTGATCATTCTGCTTCAGTTTCCCAAGTGCTGGGATAAAAGGGAATAACCACCACCTGAATGTTTATTACAGTCTTAAATAAAAGTACACACTTTATTTCTATTTATAATTTAGAAGCAGGATCTCATTATATATCCCATTCTTAATCAGCTCCCAACAGTCCTTTTGCCTCCTGTGAATTATTACTCCATAACTAAAAGTGTACTGTACAGATATGGTAAGGTTTGCCTGAGAAAAGCTGTTCTTCCCAAGATGCGAAGGGCATGCATGAACAAAGAGCGGTGGAAGTGTAAGGTATCACATGGACGCTTATGGTACCGCACCAGGGAAAGGTCTGTGGTACCCAAAGAATGTCTTTCAGCACAAAGTTTAGTTCGGTTTTCGGGTTTTTTGTTTTTTTGTTTTTTTCTCAGTAGACAAAAAAAAAAATGACACTTGGCGAGTTCCCACACCTTTATGGGGGCATCCAAGCTTAGCCAGAGCTGCCTGCACGGTGTTAACTGCAAACGTGTAAAGCATTCACAGCTAAGCTGGCACTTACCACGCCCTCAGGCTGGATGCCCGGCTGGCTCCGGGGGCTCCAGCGGGAAGGAGGACACGCCCAGCGTAGCGGAGTTTCCCCGCCTCACCCGTGTGACTCGCGCCTCCCATTGGCCTGGCGGGCTCCTTCCGCCCGCCTTTTCCCCTTTGGCGTCAGCGTGAACTCCTACGTCACATCCGCTCCAGCAATTCTGAATCTGGAACCCGCGCGATGAAAAGAGCGTTTGTGACTGTTGGGACCACCAGTTTCGACGAGCTCATTGAGTGTGTGGCCGCTTACGACAGCCTCCAGGTGAGTCGGGCCGCCGGCTCTGTCGTTTTAGCGCTGTGGTTCCCCTCGGGGCCGCGGTCTGGAAGGAAGCATGGCAGCTGTTCCTCCGGCACCGCGGCGCCCCGGGCCAAACGCCCTGAGTCCGCTCGCGTCCCTTCTCCCTCTGCCACCTCTCAGTCCCTCACAGCCTCTCTCCTCAGGCACCATGTTCCTCCTCAGTGTCCCCGAGCCCCCGTCTCTCCGAGACCCCGTCTCCCACAGTCTCTCCCCGTCTCCCCGAGCCCCCGTCTCTCCCCGAGCCCCCGTCTCTCCCCGAGCCCCCGTCTCGTCTCCCCCGTCTCCCCGAGCCCCCGTCTCTCCCCGTCTCCCCGAGCCCCCGTCTCCCCCGTCTCTCCCCGAGCCCCCGTCTCGTCTCCCCCGTCTCTCCCCGAGCCCCCCGTCTCTCCCCGTCTCCCCGAGCCCCCGTCTCTCCCCGTCTCCCCGAGCCCCCGTCTCGTCTCCCCCGTCTCTCCCCGAGCCCCCGTCTCGTCTTCCCCGTCTCTCCCCGAGCCCCCGTCTCGTCTCCCCCGTCTCTTCCCGTCTCCCCCGTCTCGTCTTCCCCGTCTCTCCCCGAGCCCCCGTCTCGTCTCCCCCGTCTCTCCCCGTCTCCCCGAGCCCCCGTCTCGTCTCCCCCGTCTCTCCCCGAGCCCCCGTCTCGTCTCCCCCGTCTCTCCCCGTCTCCCCGAGCCCCCGTCTCGTCTCCCCCGTCTCTCCCCGAGCCCCCGTCTCGTCTTCCCCGTCTCTCCCCGAGCCCCCGTCTCGTCTCCCCCGTCTCTTCCCGTCTCCCCCGTCTCGTCTTCCCCGTCTCTCCCCGAGCCCCCGTCTCGTCTCCCCCCGTCTCTCCCCGTCTCCCCGAGCCCCCCGTCTCGTCTCCCCCGTCTCTCCCCGAGCCCCCGTCTCGTCTTCCCCGTCTCTCCCCGAGCCCCCGTCTCGTCTCCCCCGTCTCTTCCCGTCTCCCCCGTCTCATCTCCCCCGTCTCTCCCCGAGCCCCCGTCTCCCGTGCCCCCGACCCCTCAGTCTTCTGCCCCCCATAGTTTCCCCTCGCCCAGTGCCACACCCCCTGCCCACTCCCCCTGCCCCTTCCCGGTGTTCCCTACCCCCCCCTCCCCTCTCCCCCCACGCTCCCTCATCCTAGTGCCACCACCCTCCCTCGTCACCTGCCTCCCGCCTCTTCCCTCCACGTGCACCATGTTGTCTTCCCTCCCCCCTCCTTCCCCGCGGTCCTAGGCAGGGCCTGTCAGTCCCTTCTTCCCGGCCTCGTCTGCTCCACTTTGGAGCCTTGGCTACCAAGTCTTTGTCCCCTTGGCTTATGTCAGGGTGTCCAATGCGGGTCCTCCCTTCCCCCCAACTGGGAACAGGTTGCTTGGCTCTCCCCAGGTGCCTTAGCACGTGACTTCCCGCCTCAGGCCATATAAGCCCCCCCCCACCCCCGCTTTGTTCGAGACCCCCTCCCCCACCATGACTAGTAAGTGTCTCAGTCTGCTGGAGCCCCGCCTCCACAGGTAATGGTTTCCCTGCAACCCCTCCCCCCACACCCCCTGAGACTGGGAACTGGTCCTCCCCTGCTTGGAGGTCCAAGACCTCACCTGACTCCAAGCAGGTAAAGAGGGTCTTGCCCTCTGCGTGGTGCCCTCAGCCTAGTGGCTTATGTGCTTCCCTACTGGTTTTAAGTGTCCCAGCTCAACTGGTGAGACCAAAACAGGGTTTGTCTCTTGGTTTCTGCCTAGTTTTCAAGGTATGCATTTAGCTGGCAGGATCCTTGGCTGTGCCTGGGTGCTGGGGGCGGGGAGGGGGGTTTAATTTTGGAAGCTTAGCACCAGGTAGGTTTCAAAAAAGGCACCCTTCATTTGAGCAGTAACTCACAGGATAGTTAACAGCTGTTCTTGAAGGACTTCTTTTAAAAAGACTTTGTTTCCTGCTTTAGATTCTCAAGAGTCTGGGTTACAACCGACTTGTCCTCCAAATTGGTAGAGGCACAGTGGTCCCTGAACCATTCAGTAGTGATTCATTCACTCTGGATGTTTACAGGTTTAAGGATTCTTTGAACGAAGACCTTCAGCAGGCAGATCTTGTCATCAGCCACGCAGGTAAAGTGTCTGAGAATCTTGGGTTTCTGTCTTTGATTAAAAACAGATGCTTTGACCTTTTCAGACTGAATTCACCAGGACTAGAGTGGTAGGGTACGTGCCTAGCATGTGAAAAACCCTGGGTCCAAATCTTTTGATTTTTTTTTTTTAAAGACAGGGTTAATATATATCTTTAGTGGAAAGAAGGGTATTTCTGGGCAAGAGAAGGATATGAAGTCATTTTGGCCCAGTGTTGCAGTAAAAAAATCTCTATAAACACAGGGGAAAGATAATGTATATAATGATCCTAACAAATTGTGAATTTGAAATTGTTTGGGCTTAGACCTAAAGGACATTAAATGCCTTTTCAGTGGTAGGGTGGTGTTGTATAAATTGTTATTTAAAGATTGTCTTTAGCTTTTTTGTTGAATGTATGTAAAATGGATGCAATATGGTAAGAAAATTAAAATTTTAGATTTATAAATTATATTTAGGGACATAAGCTAATAGATTTAGAAACTATGTATTATGTTTTAAATATATACTCTATATTCATATTTGTAGTAGTTTGTAGCCTTCATCAAATCAATCTAACAGTTCCTGAGATTTCCAGTACTTTTAGAAAAGCTGTTTTGGGGGAGCAGTGCAGTTTTGACTGCTATGGATATTTGTGGGGAACATGCTGGTTTTTTAGAAGACAATTCTAGGAGAGAAAATTCCTTAGAAATAGAATTACTGCTGGCAGTGGTGATGTACTCGTTAATCCCAGCACAGGGAGACAGGCAAATCCCTTGAGTAGCAGGCCAGCTTGGTCTACAGAGTGAGTTCCAGGCTAATCAGGGCTACACAGAGAAGCCCTGTCTCTAAAACAAGAAAAATAAGAAAAGGAATAGACATTACTAAAATGTATAGCATAATAGTTCTTATAATAGTATGTTTATGTGTATGACATTAGTACTGCTTTGAATTCTTTCTGTATACTGTTTAATTCTCCTAAGCTTGTGAGCTAAGATATTAGCATCCCCATCTTGTAGGTGAGGTAACTATGACACATGGATATGTAGTAATCCATAGTTGAAGAAGTATAACAATTTGGTAATAGAGTCTTCTTAGTTACTACCCTATCACATATCAGAAAGGATTTATTTATTCCAATAGTCCTAAATGCCATTTAATATGTCTAGGAGAGTCAAAATATTTATTTTAGATTTTCTTGTCTGTGTATATGGATGTGTGTGTGCCATGGCATGTATGTGAATGAAGTTTAGAAGGCAACTTGTGAGAATTGGTTCTCTTTATCATGTGGTTTCCATGGTAGGAAATCAGGTTGTCAGGCTTGGTGACAAGTATCTCCTGAGCCTTCTCCCTAGCCCTCTAGAGGATTTTAAATTTCAAAATTGAAGTGATCATAATAATAATGTATGTCTGCATATTCATTGTGATCTATTCTTGAGTATCTTGGGAATGGCACTTCAGTGATAAACACATAAGGACTGCTTTCCTGTGTTAGTGCCTGTCACTATTATAAGCTAGGCTTTACATTTTTTCTAAAGAATTGAATGCATTTCTTTCTTTCCCTACACCTCTCCTCCTTGCCCCTACCCTCCTTCCCTGTGTTTGTGTCTGCCTGCCTGCCTGCTTGTGTCTGTTGTCTCCCACCATGTGGGCTCTGGGGCCATCTTGAAAACTCTAAAATGGTTTTTTAAATCGCCTTTTGTATTTTGTGTGTGTGTGTGTGTGTGTGTGTGTGTGTGTGTGTGTGTGTGTGTGAGTGTGAGAGAGAGAGAGATGTGGATCAGTACATGTGAATTTGTGTGAGCATGGGTGTATTTGTGAGTCATGCATCTGTGTGTGTTGATCCTAGAGCACGGTATATGGTTTTGAATTTTGAGCCATCTCTAAGCCTTCCATATTATTTTTTTTTAAAAAAACAGGTCTTATTGAATCTGGGGTTCATAAATTCAGCTCACCTGACAGGTTAACGAACTCCAGGGACTTTCCTATCTCCCTCCTCCTCTAATTGTTGTTACAGAATGAACTCAGCTTTTAATGTGGGTATCTTAATTTTTGTAAGGCCTAAAGTTGCCTTTTCTGTTTGTTTGCATTTGGTTAGAAATGAAGTAAAATTGTTCAGTGGTATCAACTAGAGATTTGGTAATCTCAGGAAACAGGACAGTAATGATAATGGTCAAGGTCAGCTTGGGCTTTGTAGCAAGTTTCACCTGTAAACCTTCTATCGCCCTCCCCCAAAGAAATTTGTCAGAGAAAAATTAGTTGGTATGGTTTTGTCTTTTTTTTTTTTTTTGTTATTGATACAGAGTCTGTGTAACCCGTGATCCTCTTGCTGTAAACTCCTACATGCTGGGATTTGGGGCATATGCCACTAAACTTGACCTACGTTTGTCATTTTGAACATATAATTAAAAGGTTTGGTTTTATATAGTTTTATTGACTAAACTATTCATTTTTAGAAATAAAACTAATGATAGATTATTATAAATTTAAAAAAATTGAATTAATGAATATTATTTTTGTAGGTGCAGGAAGCTGTTTGGAGAGTCTGGAAAAAGGCAAACCACTTGTGGTAGTTATAAATGAAAAGTTAATGAACAATCATCAGTTCGAATTGGCAAAGCAGTTACACAAAGAAGGACATCTTTTCTATTGTACCTGCAGGTATACTAGAGATCTCTTGCCTTAAATTCCTCCCCAGCTATTATTACCCACCTGCCTAACCTTTGGATATTTTACATTTTTCACACTCATCAGTTATACTTCAATTTTTCTCAACTATAACCTCTTGTCTTTAGCTTTGACTCTGTTCTGTGTTGTGTTTTTTCCCGTATTCATGACCAGTTCTTTTGCACGTAAATTTGAATGTGTGAATGTGTATACAGATGTGCAGATTTCCAAGAATCTTAGTTTTGTAGTTCACCATTCCAGTTTTCAGTGTTCAATGAAGGTGTATGCTTATATTAGTTAAGGAAAATTAATTTATTTGACAGTCTCATATGTATATGAGTTTAATTAAATTTTGACTTGGTAAATCAATCCATTGGAAGCCCTAAATTAAATATATTCATCCACATAGTCTCTTCTTCCTAATATAAAGTGGGTACTGTTTTAGGTGCTTGGGTTACAGCGGCAAGGATTGTGTTTGCATTGTGGTGGTATAATTTCACACGGTGAACTCTGCTACAAATAAAAAGACAGGACATTGTTATAGCTGGGGTAAGGAAGAATTAGGTAGACTTCAAGACAAGCTTGACAAAGGACCTGATGTTTGAGGTGAGTACTGAATTAGAAGGAAAAACCAGTCATACAATTTTAGAGTTAAAGGAGCTTGAGTTACAAAAGCCTTAACTTAGGAATGAACTTGCAGTTTGAAATGCTTGAGAAACAGGGAAAGTTGGTATGGTAGAAGGGATAATGACCAGGGAAGAGTGAATATGAAGCTGGGAGGGCATAGCTCAATTAAGAGTTCTAATTTTACTTTATGTTTAATGAGAAGCTACTCCAGCACTTTAAGCAAAGGGATCTTTGGCAAGGAATATTGTTTTATCAGCATCGCAGTAGAAGCTTGAAGAAAAATGCTGTTTTTCTGTTAGTTCTTCTTTGGGACACTAGAAGCTTGCCAAAGGGTCAGGTCAGTAATTCCCAGTTGTTTGATTTTAAAATCGCTTTTCAGACTTGATATTTTTTTAAAAAGTAAGTAACCTCATAAAGAAGCTAATTGTATGTCTCTATCTGTATTTTATATTAAAGTTAGAACATGGTGTGTTTTGGGATTTTATTGTTTAAGGTATTTGGTATATACGTGTGTTTATTAACTATGTTATATGCCATGCTTTTTAGACATTTGGCATATTCATATATATCAGTGAACAAAGTTCCAGTAAAAGCAGATTCAGTCAGTGACTATTCCAACAGTAAAATTGATGGTGTGCTCATCTCTATAATGTTGGAAAGGGAATGATTCAGAAGAAAAGCAAGATTATGAATGGTTCAGATAATTGATTGGTATATCTGCTCTTAGTTGGTTGATACTATTAAAAGTTGTCAATATCACTTTAAAATGGGAATAGATCTTGTAATCCTAGCTACTGTATGCAAATTAATATTTGTAGGGGCTATTAAATGATTTTCATTCAAAATTTATTCACTTTTATATTTTTAGTGATGGTCTCTGTATACAGCCCAGGCTCACCTTGAACTGCTGATTCTTCTGAGTTTTTGAGATTACAAATAGTTATGGGCCACTATGCCCAGCTAATTAGCTCTGATTTTTTTGTTTGTTGTTGTTAGTATATTATAAAAGAGAAAACATTGATTTTTTTTTTGTTTGTTTTTTCAAGACAGAGTTTCTCTGTAGCTTTGGAGCTTGATCTGTAAACCAAGTTGACCTTGAACTCACAGAGACCTGCCTTCCTCTGCCTCCCAAGTGCTGGGATCAAAGGCTTTTACCATCACCTCCTGGCTTTATTTTATATACATACATGCTTTATTTTATACATATATACATAAATGCATACTTACATATACACACATATATATTACACACAAACGTAACTTCTTCTGCAGGACAAAATGATCTGTATGTCTTCATTTGAAAAAAGTCATTTATGTATGTATGTGTGCTATGTTGTGGGCCTGAAGGATGGGGAACAACTTTGAAGTGTTGGTTCTCTCCTTCTGCCATGTGGGTTCTGGCTTTGATTTCACTGTTACTGACAGTTTCTTTGTCACCCCAAACTGTTTTAGAAACTATTAATTGTAGAAAGGTCACTAAAATGAAAGTATTAAGAAGCATTGGTTATATTTTCCCAAACCTAGGTTGGATGGTGTTGTCTGTTCAAATGTAGTAGACTTTTGTTTAATTAAGTTTCTAAAGTAACAATTTTATGCTGTTTAGAACCTTATTTTCAGTATGCATGGTGACCATGTAATTGATTGATTAGTTATGAATTCATGATAATTTTCAGTAAAAAGTTTTTTCACAATCTGAAGGGTTGGTAATTAGTTATCCTAGCTTACTTTCTTGACTGACTCCTATTGTTTTGCTTTCATTTATTCTGGTTTCATTAATTAACTTTGTTTTACTTTATATTTGTGTGGTCCTTGAAATGACATTTCTCAAATACTTCATTTAACTGAAATAAATGTTTATTCAATTCATCTGACATGTTATAGTATCGACATTTCATATAGTACTCTCTGTGTTGTCAATATTCATCAAATGGGAAGCAGATAAGCTACCGAATTTTCTCTCATGTTACCTGATATTTTTCTTCTTTTGTTTTAGCACGCTTCGTGGGCTGTTACAGTCAATGGATTTATCAACACTGAAATGTTATCCTCCTGGCCAGCCAGAAAAATTTTCTGCATTTTTGGATAAAGTTGTTGGATTACAAAAATAAACTCTTAACACTTTACCCCTAAATCCAGTTCATGAAATGTGGTTAAATCAAAATAAGTTAATGGCATGTGTAGAACAATACAAATTAATATATTTGCTATAAATGTAGAATATATAAGGAATTTTGTGGCATAAACATTGCAGTTGGGTCCAAATCCTAACTAATTTCAGTAAATTTATGAGATTTTTTTTAACATTGAATATGTAGTGAGTCCCTAACTTTGAAAACTTAGTGTTCACAATTTTGTCCTAAAATCTTAATGTATATCTGATTGCTTATAAAACAACAACAAAGAAAAATCACCATCTCTGGCAGTGGTGGTGTACACCTTTAATCCCAGTCCTTGGGAGGCAGAGCCAGGCAGATCTCTCTTGAGTTCAAGGCTAGCCTGGTTTGCAGAGTGAGTTCCAGGAAAGCCAGGGCTACACAGAGAAAACTCTCCAAAGACCAAACAAAAAAAAATTAAAAATGTTAATAAAAATCAGATTTTAGTTAGATATTCTTTTGTAGAAAAAATGAAATGCTAACAATAACATTTTGGTTAGAAAGTCAGCATCTGTAGTTTATTTTAAGAGACAGCTTTTTGTATTAAGCAGTAAAGAATGGGTTTACTTGTAGAAGTTAGTAGTTAAAAGGATGATCAAAGTAATTGATCTACTGTAATTGGAGTAACTTTTATCCTAAAGAATGAACATACTCACTTTTCAACTTTTGGTTCTTCAAATGCTGGGATTACAGGTATACAACACCATGCCTGGTGATATTTGTTCCTCTGAGAAGGGCTGAGGAGATGGCTCAGTGAATAAAATGTACTTGCTGCACAAATGTGAGGACCTAAGTTTGCATCTTCATAATCAACATTAATCAAGCATGGTAGTGTATATCTATAATCCCTTTGCCTATGATGAGATGGTAGATGGATACAGAATCCTTGGAAGACATTGGGCTGGGCAGCCCTACTGTTCACAATAGTGAATTGCAAAAAGACAGACCCTGTATCAAACAAGGTGGAAAGTAAGGATTGAGCCTGAGGTTTTCTTATCTTACCAGCTCACCATGGCACACATGCCTACTTTTATATAAATGCATACACACATGTAAGTAGAATGTGATAATCTTATCAATGCTTTACAGTATAGAGAATAAATCGAAAGATATAACAGTATGACTTGGTTGTTACTTTTTTTTACATTTTCAGTTTTGTGTATGTATGGATATGTGCATGTGGAAGTCAGAAGACAATTGGGATCATTTATCTCCTTCAGCCCTGGCATCAAATGTGGGTCTCTAGGTTTGGCAGCAGGGCATTTGCTGGTGATCCATCTCACTGGTTCAGTTGTTTAGATAGAGGTAGTGTGGTTGGAACATAGGACCTTGAACATACTAGGTATGCGCTGTACTAATGAGCTACATCCCCTGCCTGCTGTCAGTTTTTACAATGGCCATGTGAGGCCTGGAGAAACCTCAGTGTTTTATTTCAGAGGACATAAGTTTGGTTCTCAAAACCTGTTAACTGCTTGTAACTCCAATCTCTAGGACATCAAGTGCCCTCTTTTGGTCATTTCACATGGCATATACTCACACATATATACATATAAAAATACATCTTTTAAAGAAATTATTAAAAAGTTCAGCTGATGCTAGAGAGATGCCTCAGTGTAGGAGCACTTGATTCTCTTTCAGGGAGCCTGGGTTTGATTATCAATATCCACATGGTAGGTTATCCTAACCCTCTGGCCTTTGTGGAGACCAAGCATGTGTGTGGTTCATAAATCTACATATAGAACACTACACACATATAATTAATGCCCTTTATAGTATTTGGCGATTTAGAAAAAATTACAAATGTGTCAAATGATGTGACATCGTTTCTTAAATACATAATTTTTGAATTACAACTCAATACATTAACTTTTCTGACTTTGGTCTCACACACACATGCACTTTTTTTTGATTTTTCACTTTGAGACAGTCTTTCTCTATATTGTTTTGGAGCTTGTCCTGGAACTAGCTCTGTAGACCAGGTTGGCCTCAAACTCTTAGAGATCTGCCTGCCTCTGTCTTTGGAGTGCTGGGATTAAAGGCATGTACCATCAATGCCCAGCTTAGAATATATATGTATGTATATATGTATATGTATGTATATAGTGTTCTACCTACATGCATGTATCCCTGCATGCCAGAAGAGGGCACCAGATCTCATTGCAGATGATTGTGAGTCAAATGGTCCTAGGAACTGAACTGAGGACCTCTGGAAGAGCAGCCAGTGCTCTTGACCTTAGAACCATCTTCACAGCCCCAGAATATATTTAAAGATATGTGTGAGTGTAATAGTTCTTTTGTAGATATTATAGATACAGTTTAGCCATAAAAATCGACATTTCAGAGCTTGGCATGATGGTGCATGGATATAATGCCAGGACTGAGAATCAACTGTGCTACATAGTGAGTTTCAGGTTACCCTGAGCCTACTTAGTAAAAAAATGAAATCAGTCCATAGATGTTAGTGACTATACAGATATACCTTGTTTCAAACATTCTACTTGCGATGTATTTGTATATTTTAGCAGATTTATTTTCCTGGTTGTTCCTTACTTGAACTAACATTGTTTTTCTGGTGATAAAAGGAGGTTACTGAGAAGTACACTGTACTCAGGAGGAAGCCACTTTGAGTTAAAATTTTGGTGAGAATTAGAATCTGAGTGTGAGTAGTCCGTATCACCATAAGTGAGAATAGTAATTGTGCCTTTATTGACTAAATATTAACAGTTAGTGTGTTTTTCATGTGTTGCCATTTTGTGTGCCTGCCTGTGCCTGAAGAGGCCAGAGGACAAAATCAAGGTTCAGCCTTAAATACCATCCACTTCTAAGATGGTCTCACTGGCAAGTTCATTACCTAGGCTAGAGTGTCTGGTCAGTGAGCCACAGTGATCTGTTTTTTCCACCTTCTCAGTTCTGGGTTTATAATCCCATTGTATCATCTATAGCTTTTTTGTGCTTAGTGGGGTGCCAGTTCAAGTCTTTGTAAGACAAACAATACTTACTAAGTAATATTCCTGGCATTCATCAGCTCTACACTAACATTTTAGAAAAGGTTTTATTCACAGAGATAGAATCCAAATGTTTAATGGGTCCTTTAAAACACCTTTCTCATTTGAGAAAAATTGTGATGTAAAGCTTATGTTGGTCACTTAGCCCCCTTTTTTCTTAGATTTATTATTTTTGTGTTCTACCTGCATGTATGCCTTCAGGTCAGAAGAGGGCACCAGATCTCATTACAGATGGTCGTGAGCTACCATGTGATTGCTGGGAACTGAACTCAGAACCTCTGGAAGAGCAGCCAGCACTCAATCTCTGAGTCATCTCTCCAGCCCTGGTCACTTAGCCTTTTAAATGACTTTGTGGCTTGAAGGATTAACCATTGAGAATCAGAAATGGTCTATTCAAATATGACACCTGGAAAATCACCAGGTTTCTAATTGTTTAATACTTAAATGCTAGACCACATAATGTAGATTTAGTTATTCAGCAATTAATCCTTTGTTGTATGTGGTAGTATTTCTGACTATACCTTTGTGGTATTTTATATTTATTGGTGAGTTTTAAGTCAAGATTGGATTTTACTTGACAATTTCTCAACATTTATGTAAGTCCTGTAGTGTCTCAACTGAGAAAGATACCAGAGGTGACAATTTGCTTAAGAAAACAGCCTTTTGCCAGAAAAACCATTAGAAACAACTTGATTGAGTCCTGTATTTTTTCTTAACCACACCATAATATTTCTTTTAAGCTTTTCGTTTTTTTGTTTATGTTTTATAGTTTCCTCAGTTACTTTAATCCAGGGGCATTTTTAAATTAAATTAAAAATCTTTTAAAGTTCTGCATTTTTTCAACAGTAGTAATTTTATACCTAGAATTTCCTTGTTGCATGACAACCCTACCTAGAATTCAAACTTGTCATTTGAGTTTTGGAATTCCATAAAAATGCTCTGAGTAGGATCCATGCTAGAGGACTGTCTGTCTTGACTTAGTTCGCTTTAAGATAGTTTCATAGACTATTAGAAGAGGTTTTGAAAATAGTACTGATGATGTAAACAGGCTAAAATGTTAACATGTTACTAGTTCTCATGAAAGAACAATTTTATTTGAAATATTTCTGAATAAAATAAAATTTAGTTTAAAGTCATTGGGTAAGTGTAATGATGTTTAAAACTTTTTTAGTATTAGTGTTAGTATCATTTAGTATTTTTAGATTTCCAGATATTAAGAGGCAAACAAATTGTTGGAAAATTGATACCATGAACAAATTCAGAAGTGATTTCACTAGTCCTAGAAATTTTTTTTGCCACTGAAATCTTTTATTAAAAAGAATCATAATACAAATAATTAGAAAATCAAGAATACATAAATACTACTACACATCATTGCTCCAAGTTTGGAAGAATGCTAATTTAGTCCTAGAATTTTTAATAGTGTTTGTGTATATGAGAGGTGATGTTATGAGATGACCTTGGGAACTGGGAATTTTGATACTTGTAATTGGGAGAGAATGAGCTGGAATGGTTTGGAGGTACTGCAAATCTAACCAGTGAACTTGTTGAAAGGTTCTGGGACATATAAAGACAGTCAGGTGTTTAATTTTGATTTTAGTGATTTTAGATACTTAAAGAGTCATTGGCACAAAGGACGATATAAAAGGTTAAGACTACAGTCAGGGATGACTAAATGTACTATAGGCATTTTTCTTCCACTTTTAGTGTGGTATTAGCCCTCATTCCATGTTGATCATGTAAGAATTTGCAGAGATAGCTAAATCTGCATATAATATGGTAAATGAGGTATGGTCAGAGTATTTGAAATCAGTTTTTGGAAAGTATTTGGAATGGGTAATGGTGATAACCATGTGGTGAACCAATTTTGTGCTGTACAAAATGATACATTTTTGTGTTGAGACTAGGGACGTAAGAACAACAGTGTGGTTAACACTTGCTAAGTGTTGATATATTAGTACTTACTCAGTATGCTTTCCATTTGAATTTATTTCATCTCTGTAGTAAACTCAGGAGATAGTTTCATTTTGTCCCATTTTGTAGATGAAGTAATAGGTCTTTTGTGTAAGGGTTCAAGCAATGGGGGATAATCTGTGAATGGTAATGCACTGGATTCTTAGTGAATGTTTGTCATTTATTGGTGTAATAAGACAGTGTTTTGAATTAGGTCAGTATTTCCCCAAAATTGCACATTTATGTTAATTGTAGATATGTTTGGTTGCTTTTAGAGTGCTATTTTATAAAGTGTACTGTTATTCATAGAATCCATGGGAAGAAATTCTCCCAGTTGGTTTACCTGATTACAAATAAGTTGTATGCTGGTGTTTTCCTTAAATATTTGTATTTTGAAGTTATCTTCTGGTACTATTTCTTTCACATTTTTCTTGGTATTTCCATCATTCCCAAAGCCTTTACTACTATCTACCTTCTGACAGCTCAACAGGCATTCCTCAGGAGCCTTTAATACTGCTGAATAGGTATTGTGAATCTCAAAGATGGTGGTGCTTATTAAAATTTTGGATTTTCCTTGAAATAACCTTTTAAAGAATTAATATAACTTGTAGAATACTTTGTTTTAGAATGGTGGTTCTTAAAATGAGCTCTGTGAACTAGTAGCCTTAGTATCACGTGTCACCTGTGAACTTATTAAAAGTAACAGCTACAAGGCTTCGGTTTGAGAACCACTATTCTAGAGGTATACAGGATAGTATGTTGTGGAAAATAGTCAATTGGTATTTCAAGTGCACTGTAAAATTCAAGGACAGTATACATTTATACCTTGAAATTGCTTTCTTTTCATGCTTTCTAGTCTATGCATGGTCCATAGGTCTAAAAAAAATTATGTTTTACTAAGTTAAAGACTATAACCCATACCATTTCTGAGCCTTCTATATATCATGTGCTTTATATGCAATTTTATTTTTTTTATTTTTTTTATTTGTTTACATTCCAATCCCAGTTCCCTTTCCCTCCCTTCTCTCCTCCCACCCTCCCCACTCCCTCCTACCATCTGCTCCATGGAGAGGGTAAGGCCTAGGAAGTCTGCTAAGTCTGTCCCATCATCTCCTTGGGGCATTACCAAGGCACCTCTCCACCCCCACACCACTATGTCTAGGCTGAGCAAGGTATCTCTCCATAAAGAATGGCCTCAACTAAGTCACTTTGTACATTAGGGTTAGATCTTGGACCCACTGCCAGTGACCTCTTTATATGCAATTTTTAAAACATTTTTGCAAACAAGAGTTAGTATTAGTAATCGTGTAATTATTGAAAGTCCACTCAGCTTTAAAAGAAATGGTTTCTTGTGGCTATAAAATTTTGCATATTTCTGGAGATTATTAGGCTATTCTGTTTGTTGACTAATGTTTTAAGCTTGACATGTAAATCCAAGAACTAAGTAGTTTTTGAAAATTTATCAATATCTCCTGATTCTGCATCTTATATTTTGTGTGTTTTATAATTATTATGCTCAAGTTCTTCTAAACTCAAATATCATAGAACTACATGGAAAAACTATTAAAAATATTTTTAATTGAGAAGTTACAATTTATACATTTATATAGTGTCATATATTGACCTGAATGCAATGTGGGATGGTTAAATCAAGGTAACATTTCCTTTCTTTTACCTATTATTTTTATGGTGAAATATTTGAAATGTAATGGTGATGATTTGAAATATAATTATTGACTGTGCTCACCCTGTGGAATTAGCTCTGTAGATCAGGCTGTCCCTGAATTTAAGAGATATACCTGCCTCTGCCTCCTGAGTGCTCAGATTAAAGACATGTGCCACCACTGCCTGACAGAATTAACCAGTTTGTAAGGAGTATAATTCAGTAATTTTTACTAAACCATTAGGAGAGATTTTCGGATTTTTATCTTTTACTCCCTTTCTCATTTTTCAGATAGGCTCTAGCCTAGACTGGCCTCAAACTCCATAGTAGAGAAAACCTTAAACATCCTGATCTTTTCACAGCTAGCTCCTAAAGCTGGGATAGTATATACACATAAGGCAAGCACTCTGCCAATTTAACTACATTGATAACTCCCCCTTCATTTACCTTTAATAAAACACTAAAATATTTTGCCCATTTAAAAAACTGGATTATTCATTGCTAACTTTATTTGTATAGTCGAGATCAGCCTTATACTTACTTTGTAGCCTAGGGTGGTTGTGTTTGCCTGAAATCCTGCCTCTACCACAGGAGAGCTGAGGTGACAGGCTTCTACCTCCATGCCAGATTTGTTTTCCTGAGGATTGAACTCAGGGTCTCTAGCATAGTATGCAAGCATTTGTATCAGCTGAGCTACATCCCCAGTCCATTTTAGTGTTATATATATATATATTTTTCAATACAAGTACTTCTTTGTTAGATATGCGATATGAATGTTTTTTTTTTTTATCTCAAGTAACTTCTATTTTCAGCTGCCTGACAATTTTCTTTGCAGAGCAAAAGTTAATTTTGTCAAAGTCCAATCTGTATGCTTTCTAATAACTTTGCCTAATTCAAGGTCTTGAATGTTTTATCTTACAACTTTTTAAGAACTTTAATTTTATGCATTGATTTCCAAATATTTGTAGTTTAGAAACTAAAATATACAATGCAAAAGGGCATGGGCACGTGGGGTGGGGGGATGGGTGGGTGCTCTCTTGCAGCCTTAACCCTCTCTTGGTAGACAATAGGTAATCAGGATAAATACAGAAACCTTTTAGGTCTGGTCTGTTTTTCATTAATTAACTAAATAAGGTGTGAGATTTAGGTCTAGGGTTATTTTTTGCATTATGGATGGGCAATTTTTGCATTATTTGTTATAAATATTGTATTATCTATTGTATTGTCTTTGTTCTTTGTCAAAAATAAATTGACCTTTTTATATTTGTCTGTTGCTTGTTTTCTTAGTATATACTTTTCTTTCTCTAGTCTTCCTGTTAAGGATTTTTCTGGACTTTGTTTCTTGGTTTCCCCTACATTTTGATTGTTTTCCTGGCCCCTTACCTTCCAACTCTTTTTCTCAAATGGAAGTCTATGAATAGTATTTATTGGGGTTTTATAACCATGTTTAAAGTTCAGTAGATGTAAAGAATTTGTATTTTGTCTTGTAGAATAGGACAAAATTAATCAACATTTTAATTGTAGTTTTTTTTATAAGTCTTAATGAATTAGGGATCTTAAAAAATGATGGTCCTTCCTATAACCAAACAGTGTGGTTCAGAACTTGTATGAAGTTCCTTTATTATGGTTTCCTTAGAAAAGAAACAAGGTAATATGAAATTGGCATGGTAAGGAAAATCAAATTCATTGCGTATCTACCATGGTTTTATTTTCATTCTTATAAGTGATGGTCAACTTGTTTTTCTATAGGCAGCAGCAGTCATTACTACTACAGACTCACATATTGAAAGTAATAGTTTTCATAGCTGCTTTACATTGTAACATCTCTAACTGTTTTTAACTTAGTGTGTTTTGTGTCAAACACATGTATATAAGACCTTACATATTTAACTTAGTTTGTTACCACTGTACAAATGGGAAAAGTATAAGTTTAACATTTCTAGACCAATAGGAAAAGCAAAATTCTGACTTGTTCATTCATTCATTTATTTGTGGTGCTAGTATTGAATCTAGTGTACAAGAACCTAGTATGCAAGGTTTATCGCTGAGCTGCATGTTCCTAAAACTTAATTTTTAACACTTGGAGTTAGAAAGAGGGTTATATTTTGGCATTTAACTAAAAATAAGATACTTAATGCCAGAACAAGATAATAGAAATGGTGTCGTTCCCCTCTCCCATAGGATTCAGAGGACTTTTTTTCTGGCGAAGTACTCTAATAACATGTTAAAACATGTAATAATGTGTCAACGATGTGTCATCAAATCTTAAATGTACATTTTTGAAATTTTCTGTGTAAGATGTTTCATATGATGCTTCCATTGTTTACAGTTTTTAAGATTTATTTTAAATTATATATATGTATATATTTGATTGTGTGGGTATGTGCACTTATGCATGTGACAGCAGATGTTCATGCACACCAGAGAAATTACAAGTTGTGACCTACTTGACTTGGGTGCTGGGAACAGAATTTTGTAGCATGTGCTATTAACTGCTGAGCCATCTCTAGCTCTCATTGTTTTCAGTTAAATGCTTCTCCCTGTTCTTACTAGTACTTTGCAACAACATTCCTTAAGAATTATATCGGGATTTCCTACCATTATTAGTGGATTTATTTTTAGTGGTCCTAGTAGACAGTTTTATCTAGAATTAAATGATCTTTTTTCTCTTGAAACAGTTGCTTGCCAGTTTTTTTCTTTGCTTGAAGTGTGACCTTTATCCCAGCAGATGGAGATCCCTCCCCTTTTCTTTGTCTTTTAAAAAAGGTGTTCTCAATACTAAAGAGAATTAGTTAAATGTCCCAGTCCTACTTCCTCCAAACTCTGGAGGGTATCTGGAGGACAGGATCTATTCGGAAATTCTGGGAGTGGTTGCAAAGCTTTTTGTGGAGTGGGCTGTTTTACACACGTGAGCCTTTTTGTAATCTTTGCAGTCTCCTGAAGTAGTTTTCCCCCAGCTCAAGTGCAGACAGTTTTCTTTAGATCCCCAAATTTCATCAGGGTAGTCACTTTTTTATCCCTTTAGCTGATTTTGATAGCCCCCCCTTTCTGTAACTGTTTAACTTCCTCATTTGTCTCCTCGAGTTTCTTATTCTTTGGAGCATCTGCTCTTCGTTTTTGTTTTTCCACAGGGTCCTGTCTTGTCCTTCGCCAGTCAGCCTCTTGCTTCTGCTTCTGGGAAGTGCCAAGACTGCAGCCCTGCCACAACTGCCTCCTGCCTAGACCTTGAGCTGTTTCTTCGGATACCTGCCTACACAAGCTCCAGCACTTGCAGCCACTACCTATTCCTCCCTGCATTCTGTGTTTTCTTCCTTTTCTCCCACCCTGTTCTTTCACCTCACCCCATGCACAATGCATAAAGCATGGAAAAAGTCCTGCGGCCAGAAGACTTTGAATGAGGCCTCAATGGATGAATATTTAGGCAGTTTAGGGCTGTTTCGAAAGGTGATTGCCAAGGATGCCTCTTGCCTTTTTCGAGCTATTTCCGAGCAGGTAAATATAAGCATGACAAATGGATAATGTCTTGTTTGTAAGTTTTCAGAGTTCGATGTGGCATTTTCCAGTTGCTCAATCTGTAGAATACTAAAACAAAAACGTTAACTCTTTCTTTTTTTGTTAGTGATAATAATATCCAGGCCTGCCTGAAAAGAACAGATGGCAAAATACTGCGTGCGCTATTGCTGATTAGAGCAAATACAGTTCTCCTGTGGTTACTTTGCTGCTTTCTATTGCCTGTTTGTAATGGGGGAGGGGTAAATTAATGTGGGGTTAAAAACTTTTAATCTCAATCGTTTATAAGCATGTCCTACTCCCTTTTGTTTTATGCATAAGAAAGATAGCTTGTGTTGAAAGTCTAGGAGAGAACCATTCATTAACTCTCAATCTGACCCTTTTAAAGATAAAGGCATAACTTCTTCGCCTTTAGCTAAGATCAGGTGTGGTAGCAGATGGACTTAATTTTTCTGTTTCCAGCATGTGTTTTAGATTAGAGAACTATATGTATAATTCATCATCTTAATATTTCAAATGACATGGGAAGTGAGCTCGTTTTTTCTTTTATAGTTGTTTTACAGCCAGATCCATCATTTACACATCAGGAGAGCTTGTGTCTCATATATGAAGGAAAATCAACAAGCTTTTGAATCTGTAAGTAGAATATATGCACTGAAGTGAGTTGGTAATGTATATAGTAAGTGGGCGAAAAGAATTTTTGGTACCTAGTACAAAAACTGAATCGTCATGCAGTTTTATTTTCTCAGTAGCAACTATTTAATTCTTAGCTTACTTAGTAGAACTAGCATGCTTTATTACCTCCTCAAAGTAAATTACTTTTTATGCCTTGTTGTGCATGCTTGTAATCTAGCACTAATTTCTCATCCCACTACCCTGTATGCTGAATCAGTAGAATCCTGAATTCCAGCCATGCCATGAGCAATGTAGGGAGACTGTTAGAACAGTGACTAAAAGAAGTAACAATCAGTGTCTTTCCCACTTATTCCTCCACAAACAAAAAAAAAAAACCCAAAAACTCATATTTTTATTACCGTTTTGTGTTAATAGCATTGTTTTCTCAAACAATTTCATAACAGTTATGAGTCTGCTAATATTGTGGTGTCTATTTTAATGTATACTCAGTAATTCTCAGTCAATTTTAAATGCTTGCTAATTGTAATATGACAAATTGTGCAAATTGAAACCCAACCTCTGGTTCAGTAGCCTAATTTTTGGTAAATGAAGCTTTATCAAGACCTGATTTGAAGAGTGTCCTTTTTGCAGCTTTAAATCTTTTGACTGTATTTGCCTTCCTACTCTTGGAGGATTGTTTTTGATTTCCTCAACAGGTTTCAGTGTGTTGTAAAATACTGTGATTATAGTCTTCTCCACACCTGGGAGAAGTACTGTTCCTGATGTTGAAATGCAAGACCACGTTTTAATGCAGCTTATCTCAAGGATTTTGCACATACACATAACACTGGGGCTTTTGTTAAACTATACATTCTGTTGAAGTAGGTTTGAGAAGAGGCTTCAGATTTCTGCATTTTAAACAAACTTGCAAATTAAGGGTGCGGTTGTTTCCTAGACCACATTTTGACTAACAAAAGATTTGTAAAACACTGTTGGAAGCCCCTCCCCCCTCTTCCCCCAAAACTTTGAAGCTTTTGCTGTGTTTGTGTCTTTTCAGTGAAAACTTAAAATAAATACCAGCCAGTCAAGGGCACAGGGACACCTATGAGTATGATAGATTAAATTCATTATCTTAAATCTCAGTACATTACAGTGGTTTCAGGGTCAAAATTTGCACTGTTTTAAGTTATTCTGTTTACTGCATGCTAGTTATATCTCAGAACTGTAGAGAAAGTGAGCTTAATTCAGTTTGTATGGAGGTATATTTTAGTTACTGTAAGATTTTTTTTCATTGTAAGGTTAACAGTTTTAGTTCTGGCCATGGTAAAGTTATTGCAGCCTTCATAAAAATCAGTGTGGACCACATCAACACCTACAAAAGTTTCTTGTGTCCAGGCCTGTTTTGATTTCATTGAAATTCTTTTTTTAAAAACTTCCTTAGTTTAACTTTGTATACATGTCTCCTTTTAAATTTTTATCCTTAATGATTCTTGGTCTTGCATGATTGATTACAATTGTAAAGTTACTTAAATTGGTATCCTAAAAGAAACTGGGAGGTATGTAAGGATTCAGGCATTACCCTGGCCTCGCCCTGTCACCTGGCAGAATGCACTTAGGTCGTACTCTGGTCATCCTCTTCCCTTCCCCCTCACTCCCCTTTCTAAATAAACTCCTCATTTAAGCTTTATCTACCTGAATGGAGTGTTATTCCCTCCACCTGGGCCACCCTCACCTGCTATGAAACCTGCTATGCTCTCCCACAGGGTCCCTTACCTTGGGACCCCCAGGTGGGACCACCCACCTCTTCTCCAGCTTTATTCCTATAAATGTTAACAAAAGAACAGCAAGGTATAGATTGCATTTGATGAAATCCACTGATCTAGACAGCTTCAGATAAACATTTTCCCGCTCAAGACATTTGTGTAGGTATTGATTTTGTGGTGCTGTGTGAACTAGTCATTTAATCCCTCATACAGAATATATAAACATATATAGAATACATAAACATTCAGAATTCATAAACATACATGAATGTGACAACAATAAATGAAAAAAGAGGCCATGAGTTTGAAAGAGTTGGGAAGGGTATATAGGAGAGTTTGGAGAAAGGGAAGGGTGAAGTGATGGAAGTATATTATCTCAAATAAAAAGAGAAAAACTTATTAGATGCTGATAACTGTAGAATATAATCAGATTGCAATAATGTATATTTGGCTAAGTCAAGTTTATTTTATTTTTTGAAGTATGTGGAGGGATCTTTTGAGAAATATCTGGAACGGTTGGGAGATCCCAAGGTAAGTTCAAATATAAGGGTATCTGTTGCTGGACTTGCCAAGTCCTGCTGCCTGCCCTTCAACCACCAGAAAACAACACTTGCTGCTACCCTTCAGCCTCAAAGGGACACAAATGCATGATTTGTTAATTATTTCAATTGTTTGGTATCAGTGCCTCTGAAAAGAGCTGGGAGTTTTTTGCTGCTAATACAGAGTCAGGAAAACTTCTAAAAGGAGCCTAGAGCCTCTGCTTGTCTTTAGCAAACAGCCCGCCAAACAACCTCAAAATGGAGCACATATCCTGATTTCCATTCTGAGGTCAACACATCTTTGAAATACACAGGCTGATTAGTTAGCTCAGAAGTTTTTTCTGTTGGTCAATGCCATTCTGCGGCTGTTTTTCCTTTTTCACTAGCATTAAGAAAGTTTAAGGTTAGTAAAGTGTTGTGTAATCTGTTTTTGGGGTCTTGGTTCCCCCTGCCTGTTTATTGAGCATTTCCTTTAAAGTGCAATTAGATCTCTTAACAACTGCTTGTCCTATAGGATTGTATGGTATACCAGTAATATGCTTTATGTTATAGTATTTAAAGTTTTCAATTTACTGGAGACATGCTTGAGCATTGTCAGTTTTTATTTGTGCAGGTATATCTATAATAGCCATTACCTCTAATAGGTCTGTTACATCAGAATCAGTCCTTTCAGAGCTCAGATCATTTGCCCATTGAAATACTGAAAATGTGTCCATTGTATGGTGCACATATTTTAATTTTCCAAATTATTCAAAGTGAAACATCCATTTGCCAAAGATCATCTTTTCAAAGTTGTTTGAAATAGCCCAAACATACTTCTGTGTTTATAATGACACAAAATATTTTCTTAAGTAGCTAGCTCTGCTGAATGAAACAATTATTGGGTCAGAAGCAATGGCCTGCTGTTTTGTGTTGAATATTGAGGATTATGTTGACTGCTTCTGTAGCTTGCTTTGAGTACACAGTGCTTGGGAAAAGAACAATGTTGGGAAACACTTAAAGCCTTTTCACTTTAATGGGAAGAACAATGGTAATGTTTATTATTTTTTAAAGAATTAAAATTTTCCTATTGGTAGTTATCTGTTTTGTGGGAGTAAAATCCATAATAATTTAGGAATAATTTGTATAGTAATAATAATCAGATTTTAGTTAAGTAGACATTTACTAAATATCCTGCCACCTTTTTTAAAATGATAGTTACTCTTTTATACTTTTTAAATTGTGTAGTTAATACCTAATGACTAAGAACTTCAGGTCCATTATTTTGAGTTGTGTATATTTTTGAGTGGGTATCTTAATTTTCTGATATTCAAAACAAATTACACTGTGTTATACAAATCCTTTATATGAAACTTTAGATAGCCAAAAATGTAAGCAATACTTAATAGTTCTGAAATGTTTTTCAAAACTCTGTTATTTATATTTAGGAGAGTGCTGGCCAGCTGGAACTAAGAGCTCTTTCTCTAATTTATAAGTAAGTTGTGTCAAAGGAAAATGAAAAAGGGAATATATGAATATGAGTGAGAATGACTGTGTATAAGTAAAATGTCTGTCATAGTCCTTTTAGGGTTGGTTAAATTTGAGTTTTGTTAATAGTGTAGAAGCAAAAGGCCTGAGCAAAATCCATTTGATACTGTTGTTAGATGAAGAGCCTTATTACTAGTTCTGTCCTAGAATTTTTGTCTCTTTGAAAGGAAGATTATATGGAAGCCAGGTTTGCTGGGGCATGCCTGTAATACTAGAACTAAGAAAGAGGGCCTAGAGCAAGACGATTTTGAATTCAAGACCACCTTAGGGTATACAATAAGATCCTGTCTCAAGACAAACTAATAGAGCCTGAAAATGCTGGACTGGTAATATTACCAGTAGGAAATCAAGATAGCTATCTTTGAAAACTAGTGAGTACTTAACATTTTTTATATGTTGTCATTAGGGCAATGCCATTTCTATTGTAAAATTAGAGCAGAAAGTTTTTAGATGATTCAGTAGTTGAATTATCCTTCAAATGGTCATGTATTTTGATACTAATGGGGAAGTTAAAAGCTTTAAAGGGCTACTTAAGTGCCTTATAGTTATAGCTATCTTATGCATATACTAAATAATCTCTTCCTACTTATCTTTGTTTTCTACCTATAGTCGAGATTTCATTCTCTATCGATATCCTGGAAAGCCACCAATGCATGTCACAGATAATGGCTTTGAAGAAAAGGTAAGGAAATGAATGTTGGCTGAAATAAAGTTGAATGATGCTGCTTGTTTACCACAATATTAAATAATTCTTTTGACCTAATTAGTGAAATAGTAAACCTAGTCTTAAAGATCAATGAGGTACCATTGTGCTACTGAGTCACCTAATAAACATTGTCTAACTGGTAATATTCTATGACTTTTCCTTGCTAGTCTGTCATCCTCATTGGTATTAGCTACCTGTTATTTAAACAGATTGCTCTTATAACTCCTTAATAAGAAAAACTGCAAGAGCACATGAAACCCTAATTGGCTCCTCATTGACCAGACCATAAGGGTTAAGTCTGAAGTTAGGGGTTGAATGTCATTTCATTTTCTTCTATCCTTGGTGTACATGCCATGATTCATGCTACTTCAGCTTTGGTACAGTTCATTGTTTCAACCCTTAATTGTCAATTTCTTGGAAACATTCCCAACTTCCCTGGAGCTCTTTTCTCTTATACCCTTGTTAGTTTCCATCATGATACTTAGTTTTATCACTACATGTTTACATTACAGTTTATTTTTCTCATCTGGAAGTGTTTTGAGGGTTTTACAGATTTTGCTTACAAAATAGTATAAAGTAGATGTTTTTCAAGACTCTCATCTGATAATAGATTATGTTTTCTATCAGAGTGAGTATTCCAAGTTTTCAGGAAAAGAGTTTTATCGTAAGTACAAATCAATGAATATGATACTATGCAATATTTGAGTTTTGTAAGTTTATTTCTCACTGTGGATCATAATTCTGGCAAGTTTATGATGGAATGAAAAGAATAGATGTAGGAGAACTTTGCTGTTACAGTAGTTTAGGCAAAGGATCTAAACTAAGGAAGTGGTGTTAGGATTAGAGATAACTGATTGGAGATACTTTAAATATAAATGGAGTCACTTATTTTACAAGTGGGAACCATCTAATTTGTTCAGCAAACATGTTGCTTTTCTGAGCTTTGAGGAAACCAATTCTTGATTAATGAAAAAAGTTTTTCTTTCCTTTTTTTTTTCTAGAGGCTTTAGTGGGCATAAAGACTTTCATGGAATAGTTAATTGCAATTAAAGCATTAGTTTTATAGTAGAAGTAATACTTAAAAAGGACATAGAAGGAGGATACCTGATTGTCCAAGTTAGACAATGCCTCATTGTGGTAGTGACACATTAAAAAAACTAAGTCCATCAAGTGTGAAGGGCAGTCTCTTCAGGGGAAACCTTATATACAAAGTCATGGATGCAAGAGACCCTTTGGGGATTTAATTAATTGAATGTGGAGGGTGGTGTACAGAAATACAGGCTAGAGTTGTAGAATGAGGGATAGAATAGCCCTTGCTGAAAATTGGGCTTGCCATTGTACAGAATACTTAACTGAAGCTTTTCTCATTTTTATGAAAATTTTCAAAGGCAGATAAAAGAATTAGGAAGCATTCATGTGCCTGTTACCACTGAAGTCTCTTAGCACATAGATCCCTCTACACACTCACCAATCCATTGTTTAAAAAGTCTTATTTAAAGTAAATTTTGGACATCAGTGCACTTACTTAACGCTAACTTAAAAATGTTTAAGCAAAAGTGTGACAGAATCAAAATTATTTGAAGAAACATACTGCTCTTATTTATCTTCAGATGAGATTTGAATATTTAGATCTTATCCAGGGATCTTCAAAACTTTGATTTCTCTCCCTGTACTTGCTTCTGAAGTTGTTCTTGGAGAATAGTTAATAAAATAATATTGTGATTATCTGCATTCTTACCTTGTAGTAGTTCTTACAGTTGTACAATTCCATTTTTAAATGAGTCTTGTACATTTTGTGGATGGATACTGAGATAGTTATTGGGAGCTTGATCCATTAGAACTGTAACAATATAGAAATAGGAGAATGTTTGAGTATGTACAACTTGAAGTAGCATATGTGAGACATGCACACTGTTATTTTATAATGTTATTTTATAATGATGTAATATCTAATTTCTATTCCTTATTACATTGCTTTTTATTTTTTCTGTATGCAGTTAAAGTCTTTCTAATTATACAATGTAAGGAGCTGTCTTAACTTTTATGCATTTGTGTATTTTGTCTGAGTGTATATATCTGTACCACATGTGTGCCTGGTGCCCTAGGAGGCCAGAAGAAGTTAGCAGAGTTCTTGAAACTGGAGTTGTATGGGTATTGAGAATTGAGCCTGAGTCTGGAAGAACAGTTAGTGTTCTTCATCACTGAACCGTATCTCGTCCCTTAAATTTACAGAATGTGCAAACAATCAGTGTTTGATAATAAGAGGAAACATTGTTTGTGGAAAATGAAATGTGCTTCATACAGGAAATAACAGTAAAATAACTTAGAGATTCATTCCAAAGCCTACCAAATTAGCAAAAATGAATGAAATTAAGAAATCTTTACTAATTGAACTCATTGAAATCTTTTTGTTACCATGCAAAATGTATGATTTCATTATATTTTCATATGTATATGTCATGCTAGCTTTTTTTCTAATTTATTCCCATTCCCTGCTAACTTTCTTCTTTCATCCACCTCTTTGCTATTATTGTGCTAGTGCCCTTCTTCATGCAGTGTCTTCTGTCTGTTTTTAGTCTTTCTCTCTCCCTATTACTTTTAAAGAATAGTCCCCTTTCTATCTTCATGACATACATGTATATAAATTGAAATCTACATTCTGTATCTGGAAGTAAATGTATTTTTCTTTCTGAGTCTTATTGTGCCTAACATAACAATCTTCATTATTCCATTATGACTGAATAAAAAACACTGTATACATGGGTTACATTTTCTTTTTTCTTTTGTTATTAATGCCATTATCATCATCATCATTATCATTATTATTGGTTTTTCAAGACACGGTTTCTTTGTAGCTTTAGAGCCTGTCCTTGAACTGACTATACCAGGCTGGCCTCAAACTCACAGAGAGCCTGTCTCTTCCTCCAGAGTACTTTCCCTGAAAACTGCTGGGATTAAAGGCGAGTGCCACAACTGTCTGACTTTTATTTGTTTATTTATTTATATATTTATGCATGTATTATTTATTTATTTAAGATTTCTTTATTATGTATACAGTGTTCTGTCTGCATGTTTGCCTGCAGGCCAGAAGAGGGAACAAGTTCTCATTACAGCTGGTTATGAGCCACCATGTAGTTGTTGGGAATTGAGCTCAGAACCTCTGGAAAAGCAGTCAGTGCTCCTAACCTCTGAGCCATCTCTCCAGCCCCTTTTTATTTATTTATTTTTAATTTTGCATTTTAATCCCAGTTCTCCTTTCCTCCCCTCATCCCTCTCCCTGCAGCTTCCCCTCAGCACGCCCCCATTCTATCCTCAGAGAAGTTATGGCCATGGGGAGTCAGTTAAGTCTGTCTTGCCACCTCTTTGAGACCTGACCAAGACCCTCCCTTCTCTTTGTTTAGGCTGAGCAGGTATCTCACCGTAGGAAATGGGCTCGCTCAAAAGCCAGATCCTGTACTAGGGATAGATCCTGCTTGAATTGCCAATGGCCTCATAAACTGCCCAATCTGCCCTCTGTCACCTGCATTCAGGGGTTCTAATTCGGTCTGGCAGGTTCTGTAGCTGTCAGTCTAGAGTCTGTGAACTCTCACTAGCGCAGGTCACCTGTTTATGTGCTCATATTATCACCCCTTCCTCTCTTGGACTGAACTCTCAGGAGCTTGGCCTAGTGGTTAGTTGTGGATCTCTGCATCTGATTCCCTTAGTTACTGGATGAAGGTTTGATAATTTCATTTTTTTTTTTTTTTGCTGATGTTTTTTGAGACAGGGCTTCTCTGTAGCTTTGGAGGCTCTCCTGGAACTCACTCTGTAGGTCAGGCTGGCCTTGAACTCATATAAATCCACCTCCTGAGTTCTGGGATTAAAGGAACATACTTTCAGCTATTGGTAGATGTATATATAGGCTGGGTCATTTTCTTGTGTCATTTAACCTTTATTTTATGTACATTGGTGTGATGGTATCAGATTCCCTAGAACTGTAGTTACAGACAATTGTGAGCTGCTATGTGGGTGCTAGGAATTGAACCTCCGTCCTCTTTAGCCAGTGCTCTTAACTGCTGAGCCATCTCTCTAGCCCCTGGGTCAATTTCTTAACTCTTTCAGAGTAGTGCAGCAGTAAACAAGTATCTCTATAATATGTGTACTTAGAGTCCTTTGGGTTGAATCCAGGGCTTTGAACATGTTACACCAGTGCTCTTAACACTGAACTGCATCTCTGCATGAGATATTTTTTGGGTTTTTACCTGGAATTGTTCTTTCACTAGTGCTTGATTCAAAACAGATATTTGGGAAAAAAGTTTAAAAATATTTACAGCTGTTACACGAACAGATTTCATCAAAGGAAACATTTACTGAAAAGTTTTACTTAGTAATTATTTTGTAATGCACTGGGAATTTAAGGAATCAGCTAAGAAGTTAACCCTTTATTTTTGTAGTCTTATCAGGAACTTAGAATTTTTCTGGAAGTGTTCTGGCTCATGTTTCTATTTACTGCAGTGATTTTCTTTCTTTTTTTTTTTTTGGTAGCCTTTTAACCAAATTGTTTGATGTCTGTTCTTCTTCCCTTGTCTAAATTTTGGATATTTGGATAGTGGAGTATTTTACATAATTTCTCCAATTATTCTGAATGAGAGATTAAGATTGGATTTAGACCAGCTGTTAGGTTTTCTGTTTTGTTCAGCAATTGAATTTGTGAAGCTGCCTTTTCAGGCAGATACATTAGTCTGGACTTGTTTAGTGCATTTCAGGAATGTGATTGAGGATATGGTATAATTAGGTATTTTCAATCTTGATATATAAAAGTCATTGTTTCAAAATTATTTTTCATGTACAGGTTGTTTTCTAGATTTGTTAAATGTCTTAAGAATGGAATTCCATTTAGTTTATCAACTGCTGATTACCAATTTTATGATTGTAAATATGTTAAGAATAACTTTTTCAAAAAAGAATAACTTTATTTTGTATGTTTTCCTTCAGATTCTTCTCTGCTATTCAAATAATGGCCATTATGATTCTGTTTACTCAAAAGAATTTCAATCGACTGCAGGAATTTGCCAAGGTATATGAAGTCTTTATTAAATGTATGGGTGTGATTTCAGATGATTTATTGCTAGTCTTTAAACTGAAGGCCTTTTAAAACATTGTTGGTTCTTACAGAACATACATATTGGGTTATGAATGTTTTCACATTGTTATGAAGAGTCTTATTTTGATAATTGAGATTTTGGCTCTCTTTCTTCCTTCAGCTATATTGTATGAAATGCTTTATAAAGATGTATTTGTTGTGGATGAAGAAACATTGAAAACTGCAGTTAATTTGTTTCGAAGTGGTTCCAGGAGAAACAGAAACCATGCTTTGACTGGAAATGTAGAAGGCGGTACTGATCAGAAGAGCTCAACCCAGGATAGGTACTAAATGAAAAGGATTGTCTACTCTATTATTTTCATATTTCTTTGGAGTTAGCATCTGAAAGTAGAAATAGCTTGATGCACATGTATATTAGGGGATATATTGTTTTTAATTGAAAGAGAAAAGTTTTTCAAATTGTATTCTGAAATGTCCATACTTAGAGTTCAGTTAAAGTTAGAATCTTTTTTTTTTAGAAGAGACTTTAGAATTAGAATTTCTCAAAATTTAGTTGTATATGCTACTCAATGTAGATTAGACAGATTACTGGGCCTCCTGTCAGAACATTTGAGGTCAGGTTGGGTTTAAGAATCTATTTTAAGAAGACAATAACAATGCTGGGCAGGGGTGGTACACAACTTTTATCCCAATACTCAGGTGGTAGAGGCAGGCAGATCTCTATGAGTTAGAGACCAGCCTGGTCTACAGAATAAGTTCCAGGACAGCAAAGGTTATACAGTGAAACCCTGTCTCGAAAAACCAAAAAGAAAAAAACCAGGACAGTAATCCCAGGTCAGTTATCAGTCTTAGCATTTTGTATCTTTACTCACTGAGCCATCAGAAAAGTATTTTTAAAGCTTATTTGGGAACCCAAGGAATGGCAACAGTTTTGTCAAAATGAAGATTGCTTCGTTCTTTGCTGATTTCTTAAGAATTTGGGTTTATGTAAGCTACACAGTAGTTGAAAGGCAACATTACTACAAAATTGACAGCTTAAAACAACATATTGATATTATAGTTCATGTGGTTTAGAAATCATGTCATGGCTTAGCTTATACTTCTGTTAAGCATGTCATAAGACTGTAATGAAATATTCAAGGTTCTTGATTTCTTGATAGCATTTTTCTTTCTAACAATTTGGCTGATAGCTTTAGGGTTTTTTTTGGGGGGTGGTAGGAGTTGTGACCTCCCTTCAACTTGGTGAACATGGTTGACTACTTTCCTACTGAAAACAGGGCAAAGAGAGGCCATCAAGATGGGTGGGCAGTGTGGGGTATGTGTATGTATTTTTAATGTAAGTACTTAAATTCTTTATAATTAGAAGCAGTCTCGTGACTGAGGAATCAGAAGCTGTGAAGTGAACATTAAGAATCAGGCTCACAGAACCATCTTAATAGGAAATAATATAAGTATTTTTTTTTTAACCACAGAAACCTAATGAGGATGTGTTGAAAACTTACTTGCTCCATTTTTCAGAACTGAGCTACTTACTACTGAGTGGTATTACATAGTTGTGAGACATGAGACAAATAACTGCTGCATTTATATAATGTTATTTTCTTTGAATTTTTTTTCAATTAGAATTGAAGAGTTAGGTGCGGTTTCCAGTGTCAAAAGTACACCAGAAGAGAACAAACAAGGAGCAGAAGAATTAAAGGTTTGCTATTTTCTCAGATGGAGGATGTTCGTACACTTGTCTTAGAGCATCATAATTTAAAATAATTAAAACAAGATAGTTCATTCTAATTATAGAGCTGGGAAAGAAGTAGTTTATGTTGTCCTTCCTGTAAATCCTACTTGTCTAAAATGTAAGATATGTATGTTTTGAGAAATTTTTATTTAATTAAATAGTCTCATTTTACACACTAGTCCCAGTTCTCTCGCCCATCCTTCCCACAACCACCTCCCCATCCCACCCCCATCCACTCATCAAAGTCTGTCACATCATTTGGGGCAGGGTCTAGTCCCTTCCCCCTGTATCTAGCCTGAGAGAGTATGCCTCCATAGAGAATGGGCTCCAAAAACCCAGTTTTCATAGCTAACTGGATACTTAAGGCTTTTAAAATTAAAGTAATAATTAATACTTTATAATCAGGATGATATTGCTTCATTTTTATCAACAGTGGACTTTAATTATGAAATTGTTCCTCATTATCTCTTGAAGAAATAGAAATATTTCTAAATGTAAAGCCTACTTGATCTTAGACCAATGTTGCTCCTTTTTGTCTCTTGATTGCTTTTAAATACATGGTAATTTCTTGTGTTTTTGTTTTAACAACAAAAGTGGAATTATATATAGTTTTAAAAAGAAAAGAACCTTGATTCATTATTCTTCATAAAAAGATGACTTTAAAGATGAGTTTATACCGTGACAATTTTTGTTTTAGTTTCCAGAAAATCCATCAAGGATGCTCTTTCCTTATAAGGTGCTGAAAGCTCTGGATCCAGAAATATATCGCAATATAGAATTTGATGCTTGGTTGGACAGTAGAAAAGGTAATAAAGTATCAGCAGAATACCTCAGGATACCTCTGAATCCTCATAGATACATGGCATCATAATAAGTTATTTTTTGTAATAGATGCTTTCAACAAACTATCTTAGGATTTCTATTGCTATGGAGAGACACCATGACCATGGTCACTCTTCATAAAAGAAAACCTGCCTCCACAGTGTATACTTCCTTCAACAAGACTGTACATTCTACTTTGCCATTACCTATTTTTAAATGGCAGAGAGAAACTGCAAGACATGAAAATTACATAACTCAAACCTCAGTGTTCATCATTTTTTAAGAGAATGGAGTACTTTTATTGATTACATTTATGTTTTTGTGTGCACATATCTGTGTATACTCTTGGGTGTTAGGGTGCATTGTGTGTGAAGAAATGTTTTGTTTCCTTTTTCTTTGCTTTGTTGATGGAATTTTTCTGTGTAGCCTGGCTGTCCTGGAACCTGGTTTATGGACCAGTCTAGTCTTGAATTTATAGAGAGCTCCTGCCACCACCACCAAGTCTAAAGGACAAATTTTGAATGTTTAATGACAAGTGCCCTAAACTGTTTTACCCATGGAGAATTGATGTATTTTGAAAGTTTGGTGGCCCACAATTTCTAAAACTAGCTGTCTGGATCTTTAAAGAGCATTCTTATAATAATAACTCTTAATGTAGATTGTTGTTTTCTATAGATTATATAACTTACTTCATCAAACTAGGCCTTAATATACTGCCTGCTTGAAAGGGATAATATCTCACATTCAATTTCTTCAACTTTGATCAATTCAGTATAGTTAATTAGAATGAAGTTAAGACCTTGTATAATAGTAAAATACTAGGTAATGTATACATACATGCGCATGGGATTTGGTATTACTTTCAAATTGTGACTTTTGTTTTTAACCAATTCTAAGTCTAACTTCTACTTAATTGCTTTAAAGTGCAAAACTGTTCTGACAGTTCTGTTTAATAAATTTGACATAGTAATAATTCATCAAGGGTGTTAGAATGGCTCTTTGCGATGCTTTTTTTCTACTGACATCATCTTCAAATATACTGTGTTAAAGTAAATGAGGTAAGTAAATAATGTGCAGTAAGAAAGTATTCAATTAAATTTGGCTTTAATCATCTTTTTCTCTTAATAGAACTTCAAAAATCAGATTGCATGGAATATGCTGGAAGACATTATTATTTAGGGGACAAGTGTCAGGTTAGTTCTTTACAGATAATGATTTGTTTCTCTAATCATTAACATGGGTTGATCATTGTGGGCATAGTAATCCCTGTCTCTCATCCTAGCTTAGGAAGGAGAATCATACATTCAAGGCCAGGCTGAGCTTTATACCTATATTAAGACCATGTCTGAATAAAACAATGGTTGAGGGTATATCAGTGATAGAATACTTGGCTAACATGTCTAAGGCTCTTGATTGGGTCCCCAAAACAACAACAAAAACATTGGTGAAGACTTTTTTTTAAAATTTTATTTAATTTTATATAACAGTCCAATTAAATGAATACAAACATTTATACACAATATTTGGGAATTTGGGCGTCGTTCTTTCCAAACTACTTCCTGCTGGTAAGGGCGCTGTCTTGGGGGATTCGAAGAAGATTCAGATATCCTGGCTGTAGTCTGTAGGGCTGTTTTGTCCAGCTGTTTTGAATGTAGGATCAGCTTGTACTCTGTTTCAGGCGGTCTGGCGTTATCAAACCACATTAGTCTGGAAGGAATCCACATCTTTTCATTTTCTATGGAAACAAAAATAGAAATCCTTTTCCCCAGTAACTTGTCCTTCAACTTAAATTTTTGGAGTCAAAGTGGTGAAGACTTCTTTACAAATTGCTAAGACATTTTTTGTATTGTGTCAAATTTTAATTCCAGATTGTGATAATTGGATGTAAGTTGATATATGCCTCAAAGATTAGCCATGACCGCAGTTACATTAAAAAAGTAGACATTGAATGACATTTGGAGGAAAATGGTGGTTTGGCTAAACAGATTTCTCAAGTGGTCAAGACCACATGAATTAATATGAGTATTGTTTCCTGTCTTTCAGGTGTGCTTAGAACCAGATGGAAAATATTATAATGCTCACATTCAAGAAATTGAAAATGAAAAAAACTCAGTAATAGTTTTCATTGAGGAATTGGCAGAAAGGTAAGACTGTATAGTAATTAAATTTGATAGCTGCTTACTCATTAAATTGAGAATTACCAGGATGCTAGTTGAGAGAACCAAAATTGTATCTACTAATCTAATTATTTTGATTAATAAAAGTACATGTTGAAGAGTTAAATATCACTATATCTATCATATATAAAAATTCCCAAATTTAACTTTTGGTCAGTTTATTTGATATATCAGATTAAGCCCAACAGAATTATGATATAAAAGTGTTCATGATAATTTGAAAGGTGGGTTATTGAGTTTCTGCCAGTATGTCTTAGGGTTTCTCTTGCTGTGAAGAGACACCATGACCACTCTTTATAAGGAAATCCTTTAAATGAGTGAGGTAGCAGCTTACATTTTCTTGGTTTAGTACATTGTATTTATGGGGAACATATTTGCAATGCAGGCAAACAATGTGCTAGAGAAGGAGCTGAAGTTTGATTTCAGGTAACAGGAAATGATCTTTCTCACTGGGTGTGCTTCGAGCATACATGAGACCTCACAGCCCACTTGCACAGTGACATGCCGTTTTCAAAAAGACTGCTCTTATTTCAATAATGCTACACCTCCAAATAGTGCCACTCCCTATGACATGGATGCCAGTTACATCCAAACTATCACGGTGTCAAGATGAGTTATTCGGTTCCTTTTCACAGTCTGCATCTAGAGCTTTGCAAACAGAAATTGAACCCACTTCCCTAAATTTCTCACTAATCTCCATGTGATGTTAATGTTAGTGGTTCAGTTTAAGACCCATTAACTATGGTAAAGTAACCTAGACACAAAATCCCAGCAGACTTAAAGAAATTGCACTTGAGTCAGGGGTAGTGGCACATGCCTTATTTCTAACACTCAGGAAGCTGAAGTGGTAAATCTCTAAGTTTGAGGCCAGTCTGGTCTATGTAGTGAGTTTCAGGACAGCTAAAGCTACATGGTGAGACCTTGTCTCCCAAGAAAAACAGGAAAAGGGAATTTGCTTATAACTGAAGCTGGAAGGCTACATTTGTTTACTGAATGAGAGCTAATTTTGTATTGTAATGGCTTTATGATTCAATACCTTTTGCTTCAAGGCATGCAATTCCATTGGCTAATGTAAAACCAATCAACCAAGTGGCGCTTCTTCCTCCCTGGAACACTTTGTCAACTCGTAAAGGAAGAGGTTATCAGTGTATAACTGGAGGCTATTTCCCGGAAATAGGTTTGCATCCTAAATGTTTTTTTTTCCTGTTGTAGTTCAGTTTACTTACATTGTACTTTTTAAAGGTTTGCCATATGTCCTGGTGTAGAGTAGCATTTATTTCTTCCACACTACTGTGTTGGGATAGCTAATGCTTAATAGAGAGGTAAGGGCTATCCTGGATATTCTAGGGTGATTCTTGGTGCCTGTGCCATAGATACTAATAGCCTTTTTTGCCTAGTCATAACAATAAAATAGTCTTGGACATTAGTAGATATGTTTTGTAGGAGGAAGTCACAAAATTATCTGAGTACCCACTTTCTAGCTGACCTCATATAAACTTAAGCTTAAAGAGATTGTAAATATTTTTAAAGAACTAGGAAGACATCTCATAAGTACAACCAGATGTATTAAACATAATCTTTTAGAAAAAAATGATGTAAGTGACTAGATGACTCATTATTTTTGATTACCAAATTTGCCAGTCTTAAGGAGAGGGTTGAAATACTGAGTATTTAAATACCCATGAACACAGAAATGAACTGTTTGTTTCTTTGGCCCTTCCAATTGGTAGATGAAGTACATACTTGAAAAACTGCACAAATTTCTACCTTATACTTGCCTACTTACTTGATTTGTTTCTAAGAAAAGTATGTATCTGACAGTTTCAAAGTATGATGAGGGTAGAGGAACATTACCTTTTACTTTGCTCATAATGCTCACTTACTATGTATGTACTTGTTTTCTGAAAATTCTGCCAGAAATGAGCATGAAGCAACGGAAGAAGATGTTCAGGAAAGTTCGAGGGAAAGATGTTTATATGACCATGGCTTACAACAGGGGAGACCTGCATCTTCCCAGGATTCATCCTAGTATGCATTTTGGGCACGACCCACTGTTGTACTACTCACAGACAGCAGGCCATATTATGTCGAGTGAACATTTCTACCCTCAACATTCATCTCAAAGACAAGGTCGGGGATGTGGGACGCCCAGGTAAGAATTAACTGATCTTCATGATAATATATCTTTTTTTTGATTTTATAAATAACTCTGGTACTGAATTATAGTATAATTGACAGATATAACTTCTATAGTTGTGCCATAGGAGTGCATATAACTGATCCATATTTATCCTTATCAGGCATTGTCATACTTATATTTTCATTGTGTATAGAAATGGGAAATGTTGAATACATGCTTAAAGATAGAATGCCATCTTAAATAAGTGTCTGTATGAAGTAATGCTTCTATCTCCGTTAATATTGGATAGGCCAAATACCATCTTTCTTGTTGAATGTTTTCAGGAAACTATGTTAATTCTACTTAACTATTGAAACTGCAAGAATTAAATACTTGCTTTTTCTTTATTCTTAGGGATTCATCTCAATTAATAAATAGGCAAAACATGCCAAGTTCTAAAGTTGGGTTTTACGCTGGACCAGGTAGACGGTGCTGCCAGAGCTATGATAATGTCTCCTATAGGTCTCGGTAAGTATCTGAAGTATTAAAAGTTGAGAAAAAATTGGTGTGTTTGTTTTATTGCTAAGCACTGATAATGTGTGCCATCTTTCTAAACCTCAGTTTTGGGGCTGGAGAGATGGCTTAGTAAATAAAAATTGTTGATTGCCTTTATGGAAAACAGGATTCAATTCCCAGTACCCAGTTGGTAGCTAATAGCCATTTGTAACTCTGGTTCCAGGGGATCTGAATACTTTTTCTGGTCTCTGCAGGCACCAGACACACAATTTACAGACATACATGCACACAAAATACCAGGATACATAAATTAAAATCAAAAACATCTGTTTTGAGATAATTTGTATTTCACTGAGAAATTAGAATCAAATTACTGCCATATTTTAACTTATTTCCTATTTTGGTTTCTAATCTTAGTTCTTTTAGGCGTAGCCACCGTCAGATGCATTGCATGAATAAGGAATGCCAGTATGGTTTTCCTCCAGAGAATGGCATGGAAGAAACTGTTACATTTTATGCACTTGAAGAAGGGAATGAGACTGCTTATTCAACATTACCTGTAAGTGGGTGAAAGCTTCACTGGAAATGGTGATTTATTTTTTTTTTCAATGGCTCTATGGAGAAATGTTATCTATGATTTCCACCCCCAACCCACCACAAGGATCAAAATTAGGCATTGTGTATGTAAAGTGCTTTACCCTATACTACACCCTCAGCCCTAATTTTAACATTTTTTTGTATGAACAACTTAATAAAATCCTCAGACTGAAGCAATCCCCTTAGAGCTTCTTAACTTTAAAGAAAAGAGGTGTAATGGGGCTGCTAGAGATTTAGACATTCTAGTTATATGTGAGCTAACATTTTTCTCTTTCATTGCTTCACCTATTTTGGATTCCAAAGTACTAAAATAGCCACATATTTCTCTTATTAACTCAAAATTTAGTTTCTTTGCCTTTTCTTTGACTAATACAGGAAGAATTCCATAGGTATGTGTCTTTCTTTGGTACAGAGCAATGGTGGATCCCCTGCAATGGTTCCTGCTTCTTCAGGATACTGTATGGCAAGCCATGGCTATAACTCATGCAAACCAAGCATGAATTCAGAAGACAGCAATGACCAGTGTGACAATGGTGAGTAAATTAGTGATGCACAATTTTGAAAAGATGATTGTCATGGCATTTGTTTAAGAAACTTGGAAATACTATTTTTGGTGTTTCACACCTTTCTGGTAATTTGACAGAAGTTTAAGATTAGGGATGGTGAGATGCTTCAATGGATAAAGTGCTTTCCATGCAAACCAGAGGACCCATGTTCAAATTCCAGAGCATACATAACCCAAATATTTCTTACTTGAATTCAAAACATCTTACCATTTATTGAATGCTATATGTCATCCATTTTAGTAAATTATTACAATTTAATGGCAGTTTATATGGTATTATGAGAAATATGGCATCCTTGTTTTATATATAAGGAAATTGAGTTTCAAAAGCCAGTATTAGGATAAAGGCTTCTTGATAATGGCAGATATTGAGATTAAATTTACATACCAAAAAATACTTACTCAAGGTATGCAATTCAGTGTTTACTGTGTGTGCATTCACATAATCAGCTCTACTACAAATTTATCATCTCCCAAAGGACACCCTATTTCTCATATATACCCAAACTATGATTGTCTCTAAAGCCATCTATGTATACTTAATATAGCTACTTTCCTTTGGCATTTGTTTGTTTACAAGTCTATGATATATTACTATTAAAACAATTCTGGAGAATTATGGAAAGTAAGGAAGTATGAGGCATTTTGAGTGACTTCATGAATAAGATACTTGTATTATCCCTGCTACTTTTTATATAGAGGAAAATATTCATACCTAGCAATTTTGAAAGCAGAATTTTGTGCTGATGACAGCTTACCTTGTCTTTTGTTGACTAATAGTACAGCTCAAATCACTGTTAATCATGTATGCTTTTTAGTTTTGAAAATATGCCCATAAAACTTAAGGAAAAACAATTAATAGCCATTTTGCTACACTAAGTTTAAACAATCTGTATACACCCATTTCTGTTTTTTTAGGAGAATATCATGGAGATTATCTTTATTCTTCAGGTCAGTGAGATCTAGATTTAATTTGATAATCTTCATTGTATATGGAATATGAAATAAAATAATCCTCATTTTTTGCTTTGGCTATATTCTCTAGAACAAGGTTATGAAACATCCAGTGTATATACTACAACTGTATCTACTGCAAACTTGGTAGGTATTTAATAATAAATATGAATAGCTCATATTAGGGCACAGTGGAGACCTGTAGGAGAGTTTGCTTAGGGAATCTGATGGGGCCTTCATTCTTGATTGCAAGACATAAACTAAGAGAAGAAAGTTGGAAGCTTGATAGGACTAAGAATAAGAACTTGGTTCAGTATTATCTCCTTCCCAAAGACAAACTACTAGCTTTTACTCCAAAAGTAGCATCCTGAAAGGGCCACTCAGTGTAACCAAATACAAATCGTAATAATACATATATATTTGCATGTCTAAAACTAAAAATGAAGTCTTTATACCATGCCGGTATCCCAGTTTAGTCATGGATTAGATGCAAAATTATAATGAAATTCCTGCTTGGACTATAAGAATATAGAAGGAAAAAAATTACTGATCTGTGACATTTTGAGATCAGGAGGTCATTCATTACATTGTGTTGTTGGTCTCTAATATGGGCATTTTCCATGGACTCCAAAGCTTTCTTTTCTTTTGTCATACTTGAAATAGGAATTGATAAATAGTTCTTAGAAAGTGGCTTTTGTGTCTTAAACTGTTTTTGGTTTTCTTACTTGTTTTGGTGTTTTGAGGCAAGGTCTTGCTTGATGTTAAACTCACTGTGTAAACCAGGATGGCCTCAAACTCACAGAGATTCACCTGCCTTTGCCTCCTGAGTTCTGGGATTAAAGGTGTGTGCCAACACTCCTAGGTCCTAAGAATTATTTACTTGTACAGATTTAGGTTTTGGGTCATGACTTTTTAGCTGAGAGATTAATTTATTTAGATTTTATGTGTCAGGAGCCATATTTCTCTTTTGTAGAATAGATGCACTACTTAGATTTGCTTTGCTTTATTCTTCCTGTGTTTCTCCTGGTTGATTCTATCTAAATACTTTTAGTATATCAAGTGCTTGTGAAGGATCCATAAACTTCATGAAATAATTTCATTCAAATGTGAGATTTAAATGTATCATTTCAACTCCTGTTTTGAGACATACATTATAACGTATACAAATATGTTTGTAACAAAGTTAGTCATTAAAAGATTAAAGGAATCTTTTTCCCTTTTATTATTATTATTTTTACTTATTTTACATATCGATCCTGTTCCCTATCCCTTCCTCCTTCCCATGCCCCCTGACCCCCCTTTCTATCCCATTTCCCTCCAACTGTGTAGGGAGGGCGATGCCTTCTAGGAGGGATCATCAAAATCTGTCAACTTATTTGGAATAGGGTCTAGGCCCTCCTCCTGCCTCTAGGTTAAGGGACTATCCCTCCAAGGGGAATGTGCTCCCAACGTCCTTTTGTGTACCAGGGATACATCCTGGTGCCACTGTCAGAGGCCTTCTAACTGAGACCCACATTTGGTTGCCTCTGAGTCAGTATAATGAGTCCACATAAATTTAAATTTTGATGGGAATTATATTGAATCTGTAGATTGCTTTTGGTCAGACAGCCATTTTTCACTTTCATTAATCCCACAGATTCATTTGCACAGGAGACCTTTTCATCTTCAATTGTCTCCAATTTTGTCCCTTAATGTCTTAAAGTTTTCATTCTATACGTAGTAAAGCTACTGATTTTTCTGTGATAGTTTTGTATCCTGCTACTTTGTTTATTATTTACCCCCTATAGAATTTTGTGGAGTTTTTAATGTAATTTATATATAAAACCATGTTACCTGTAAATAAAGATTCTTTGACTTCTTACTTTCCTATTTGTTGCCCTTAATTTTCAATTGTTTCATTGCTCTAAGACTTCAAGTCCTGTATTGTATTGGTATGGGAAGAATAAACATCTTTGTCTTGTTCCTGATTTTTAGTGGAATAGCTTTGAGGTCTTTCTCCGATTAGGTTGCTTTTGGCTATGGACTTGCTATAAATTATGCTGGGGTATGTACCTTGTATTTCTAGTCTCTCCAGAATTTTTACCATAGAAAGGGGTGTTGAAGTTGGTTTCAAAGGCCTTTTGCATCTAATGAGATAATTATGTGGGTTTTTGTCTTTTGAGTTTATATGGTAAATTCCATTTTTCTATTTACACATGTTGAACCATCCCTGAATTTCCAGGATAAAGTTTATTTGATTGTGTTCAGTGATCTTTTTTTTGACTCAGTTTCCATGTATTTTATTGAGAATGTGAGAATGTATGCATCCATGTTAGGGAAAATTGGTCTGTAATTTTCTTTCTTTGTAAAGTATTTGTGTGATTTATGTATCAGACTAATTGTGACATTGTAAAAAGAATTGGACAGTGCTCCTTTATTTTCTATTTTGTGGAATAATTTGTTTTATCTCAGTTCAGGTTTTCCTTAGTGAATCTATTTTTACTTTTATTTCTCTTGAACTTCTTTTTCACAGACTTCATTAAGGGATTCATTCATAATAGCTATTTTGTTTATAATAGCACTTTTGAAGTCCTTGTATTGTGCTTCAGCTGTCTTGCATTTGTTGGATCCTACTGTAGGGTTACTGGGTTCTGATGGAGGCATATCGTCCTGGCTGTTAATGTTTGTGCTTTTGTGCTAGGTGTTGATAACCAGGTCTTGTCTTTGTTGGCTGGTTATTCCATTCCTTGATTTCTTTTGTCTTCTCTGGGAAGTGTTGTAGCTGTGGCTTGCCTGCTATTGAGTGCTTCTTCAGGTTGATGTGGCTGAGAAGAATGGAGAGTTGGCTGGGAGAAAAGGCTGATAGGGAGGGGCTTAGGAAAGAGAGAAGTATATCCTGTTCACATCAAGAGGGTACGGTTCCTAGGGAGTTAGTTGAAGGTGTGGTGGAAAGATCTGATCCTGTAAGTAGGTTGAAGTGAGGCAAAGAATAATCTGGAGAGCAGGGATGGAATGGTTAAGGTCTGAAGTGGAGGCTCCAGTGAATGGATTTGAGGTGGGAGGAGGGGCACCTATTAGCAACCTGTCTGGGTGAGAATGGAACATGGAGATGACAATGGAGAACAGGAAGGGCAGGATAGTATAAATTACCTTCTTCAGTCACTGCCAAGTACCTATTGGGTTTTCTAGGTAGAAAGTTTCTAAGGTTGAGACTGATAGAAAAGAATGGGGATGGGCTGGGGGTGGGTGAGAGGGTCCACAAGGAGACAAGCTGGATTCACATGGCATCTTTGTAGTCTCCCAGGCGGCTGCACGGTTGGATGATCCTGCAGAGACTATAATGGAGGATAGGAAGGAAAGTGAAAATTGCCTTTGGTTTCTTGGTTTCCCTTTATTCAGTTATATTTCTGTATTTATTAAAGTCTCTTCAGGACAGTGGACCATGTTCTGTGCCTCAAGACACAGTTACCTCATACAGCTATCCCCAGAAGGTAATCTTCATAGCATTGCTAAGTAGTCATTTATAGTGAGCCAAATGCAAGAAAGTAAATTTTCTCTTTGTGTTCATCATAATTCTGAGCAGCTGCCTATATTCCATTAAGTATTATAGTGCCTCCAGTACCACCTGGCATAGTGATTAATACATTTATTTAACAAGTCACTGAAATGTCTACTGTTTCAGACACTGTTGTGTGCTCTGTTGTGAACTTCTTATGAATCAGTCAGTAATAAATTACTTTCTGAGTCTTTTATTTGCTGAAATATAAACTGGAAGTTGTCATTCACAAATGGGCTGGAAAAGGAAAGCGTATAAGACCACCATTTAGAACACAGCCAGTAAATTACCACAGTTGTGAAAATGAATAAGTAGAATAGGAACAGTTGAGGAAAGAACAAATGTAGAAGAATATATTGAAACTCTGGAACAAGAACATTGCCAGGAGCAGTAAATATGGCTCTATGTCTCTTTCCTAAGAGGTCATTTTAGATGATCTGACTAGGTAAGAGTACTATAAAGAGAAAGACTTTTTTTTTTTTTTAAAAAAAAAAAAACACTTGTTTGAGTGTGTGTGTGTGTGTGTGTGTGTGTGTGTGTGTGTTTGATTTTTCAAGACAATTTCTCTGAGTAGACTGGCTGTCCTAGAACTTGCTCTGTAGATCAGGCTGGTTTGAACTGCCTGCTTCTGCCTTCCAAGTTCTGGGATTAAAGGCATGCACCACCACAACCAAGTCTGCTATTTGCTTATTATATTTATACCATATGCCCTCGGAAAGTAGTATGTTCTCAAAGAACTTTGTGCCCAAATCAGGAAAAACATTAGTTTCATTAAGTCATTCAGTTACACTTAATACAAAGCATCTTTTCTACTTAAATGTTTTTGTGGATATATATATATATATATCCACATATATATGAAAATGGATATATATTACAAATCTGTGGAGACCTGGAAGCTACATACAGATTGACTTTTCAGTATTTTATCACCAGAAATATTATAATTTCCTGATGTTATGTTTAGAGAATAAACAAATATGATTTGAGAAACCAAACTTGAGAGTTTTAATCTTTCTTCCACTTAATAGGTGTTAGAAAATTCTACAGCAATTACAGTTTCCTGGGATAGCCATATTCCAGTTCCAGTCTTACCTAACTGCACAGGAGACAATCAAACTATTAGTACCTCTGATGATTCTGCACAGAATGCCATACAGCCTGTCTTTGAACCTCCACTTGAACAAGATAGTCAAGGTAGGTTATTAATGTTTTCTTTGAAAACCTCTTTTTCTACTCATGAATATGTATATACTGTTGCTGTAGTTGTTACATGTTATTGTAATTTCAAGAAATTATTATGTTAATTGTACTTTAAAAGATTGTTATATCATCAAGTTAATCTATGAGGTTTGAGAGTTTAACTTCTAGTGGTTTTGTTTTTGTTTTTGTAATAGGATTCTGAAAAGATTTTACACCTAAGCCGGTCAGTGGTGGTGGCACATGCCTTTAATCCTATCACTCGGGAGGGAGAGGCAGGTGGCTCTCTGTGAGTTTGAGAACTGGTCTACAAGAGCTAGTTCCAGGACAGACTTCAAAACCACAGAGAAACTTTGTCTCACAAAAAAAAAAAAAAAAAAAAAGTTTTATACCTTCCATTTGCTGTTCAATGGATAGTTAAAACACCTGTATTTTTTCTACAACTTTGAGTTGTTTTCTAAATTTCTGTTTCATAATGTGTATAATGAGGCAGGGATGAACATGCTGAGGCTGGAGGAAACTAATGAGGTGATTATTTCCTTCCACTTCCACATTTATTTCAGGGATCAAACTTGGGTTACTAGCAATTTCTTGTACCCACTAAACCGCTATGAGAGATGAAATAATGCTAGAAATCCCTGGAGAATACTGAAGAGAATAGACAGAACAAATACAAAAATGTATAAATGAGAAAACTATTGAAACTAAAAAACATGAGAACATTGAAACATGCATAGTAGTACCTGGAAGAAATGAGAATATCAATCCATAATCCAATATTAGGATATTCTAGTAAGATTCATTTTCTAGCACCCACATGGCAGCTCACAACTATCTGTAATTCCAGTTGCAGGTAATTTGACATTCTCACTCAAACACAGATTGCAGGTAAAATACCAATGAACATAAAATGAAAATAAGTAAATCAGAACCGATTTTACAAAAATCGCTAGAGTTCAAAGAAAAACTCTTCAATTTCTTTTGAGAATTATGTAAAGAGCCTATGGAATATAAGGAAATATGTAAGTCAACAAACTTTTGAAAGCAATAGTTATGTGGGGAGAAAATGAATTGAAATTTCCAATAAGGCCGGCAAACACTTAAAATGCTTGCTACCAAGGCTGAAGACCTGATTTCAATCTCGGGAAACCATATGGTAGAAGGAGAGGGCAGACTCCTGAAAATTGTCCCACATGCTATGTATGGCATGCCCCACCAAAACAGGCAAATGTAATATATATATATATATATATCTCTGTGTGTATATATATATATATATATATATATATATATATATATATATATAGATATAGATATATAGTCAAAGGACTTGTGAACAAAAATTTTCTTTTTGTTTTCTTCCTTAAGTTTTTTTGTTTGAGTCAAGATTTTCTAATCTCCTGAAGTCAAAGTGAGTTTTCAAGCATAAAGGATAGCATGTCAGATTAAAAATACTTTTTCCTGTGAACCCTTTTTGAAAATGTGTGTAAATGGACATTTCCTGTCCTGGAGCCCAAATACCCAGCAACTGCTTTACAAATTACCACACAAAGCTTATATTACATATAAATACTTATAAAAAGCTCAGGCTTTTTACTAACTTACTCTTTTTTCATCTTACTTATTTTTTATATTCCAATTCCATTTCCCCCTCCCTCTCCTCTCGCTTCCCCCACTTACCCCATCCCACTTCACATCTGCCTCTTGGAGTGAGTAAGGCCTCCCATAGGAAGTATACTAAGTCTGTGCCATCATCTCTTTGGCGTATTACCAAGGCACCTGTCTACCCCCACACCCCTGTGTCTAGGATGGACAAGGTATCTCTCCATAGAGAATGGGCTCCACTAAGTCACTTTGTGCATTAGAAATAGGTCTGGGACCCACTGTCCGTGACTTCATATAATAGTTTGATCTTGTACAGGTTCCCTTTGTCAGACCTGAGTCAGTGACCTCACTGCCATCCTGTCTTAATTCTTTTTCTACACTACAGCCTATCTTCAGCCTTTAGCATCAGCAGCAGCAGCACCACTCCCACCGCCACCTCCTCCTCCTCCTCTTGAGGCTGGAGATGCTTCAGGCTTACCTCTGCAGCCACCACCACCACCACCACCACCACCGTATTCTTGTGATCCAAGTGGAAGTGACCTGCCCCAAGGTGATGTATTTTGAGATTCGGTTCATGTTATTTAGGTTTGAGATGGTTCTTGAATCTATAACATTTTCTTGATTAATGGGTATGGAACTAAATGGGAGTGCTTTGAACATATAATTATAGGTGACTATCAAGGAGCCAACTGCAAGTACTTTCTACATACTTAGCTAGTAGATAGGTGGATCGAATCATGACTCCTGCTTCCCTTCTTACAGCTTCATGTCTTTCTTGAATGAGATTCACAAATTCATAGTGTTGTTTTCTCAAGTATTTTATTTTAAATCTGGTGTTAATATTAAAAGCTCTCTTCTTAAGTTCTTTCCCCAAGTGTATGAAATTGTTAACTTTGTGATCCTTGGTATACCAACTGTATTTTGAGGGAAATCATTTATCTGATCTGCTTTGAATTTGAATTTCAGCCATTGTATTTCTGCTTCCTTAAAAATAAAAACAGTGATTCTCCCCCCCCCCAGCCCCATTGGAAGTTCTTTGTTGCCTCTGAGTTCGGTGTAATACTCAAAGAGAATGGTAGTTGAAAGTTGCTTGCTTATACTTTCTTGCTTACATTTTCCTGTTTTTTTTTTCTAGCTGCTACTTTTTTTTCCTGAGTTCTTTCCTGCACCTAAACTAGTACAGAAGATTTTTTCCATCTCTGTTCTGTTCTTTTTCCATATAGTATGTCGTTGTAGTCTATTCTAAATCTACTAGCCTTTGCTCAGAAAGTTTGGTTACTTACTAGACATTTTCACTTAGCTTTTCAACTTTCAGACACAAATGGTCTCTGGTCTCTAATGAAATTCCTCATCTTTTCCCTCTTGTATTTCACCAGTCAACACAAACATTTATTCCTCTTCTTGGTTTCATATTTTGTAAGTATTATTATTGTTTCTACCTAATTTAACACGATATCGATTTCCCAACTCCTTTGTCCTCTCCACCTTTAGTGCCAAATAGTATTCAACCATCGCGTAAAGCTGATTTTCTATTTTCTTTTAGCATTTTATTGTGAAGATATAGTCAGATAAACATTGGTGTTTTTAATTGATAATGCAATTGCCAGTAAGACTTACGTTGTTGATGTTTGATTATATAGTTTTATCACATATTTGCTCATTTTTCCTTTTGTGCATCTGAGTGGAAATTAACCCATCTTGTTGATGGCTTTAAAGGTAAACTGTATTTGTCAGTAGCCCCCCCCCAACCATAAAGGATAATGAAAATGAGTATATATACACAATTGAATACTCTTTACATACATAAAAGACAAAATCCTATCATTTGTGGATTAATCTGAAAGACATACATTATTGGCTAAGTACATATAAGCCAGGTACAAATTGACAAATACTGCTTGTCTCAGCTTATTTGTGAAGTACGAAAAACCACTTCTTATCTCATAGTAATAAAGAATAGAATAATAATTTCTAGAGATTGCTTAGAATATAAGAGGGTAAATTAGTCGTTAGGTGCAGAATTACATATTTTTATATATGAAGGCTATGTTTTGGTGTTCTATTTTGCATCCTAAGATGTATATATTAGATATTTCAAAACAATTAAGAAAAGATTTATTTAAATGTTCTCACTACATGGAAATGGTGAATATTTGTAGTGAGGAATATGTTTAAATAAGCATTTCATTAATGTACAATGATTTAAATTTTGTACAATGATTCATGTATTGAAAGATTCAGTAAGTTAATATGTATAGTTATGTATTCATTACAACACAAAATCAAAAATTACCCATGTAGCTCATTACCAAATTAAGTTATAAAATTTTGCCACTGCCTCAACATTTTAGTTTTTTAATTAAAATATTTTTGGTTAAAAACCAACTTTTTACCACACATGCATATTCCTGTATGTACAAGCTAACGAACAACCTCTGTGGTTCCTCAAACATTCCTTTTGTTTTTCTTGAGATGGATATCATTGCCCAAAAGCTTAGCAAGTAGGTTAGGGTATTCTGCCAGCTAACCCACCTTTTCCAGTGCTGAGGTGACAAGTACGTACCAGCATGCCTAGCCTTTTTTTTTTTTTTTTTTTTTTTGCGTGAGTTCTGTCTGGTGCTTGGATTTATGTGTTCATGCCTGCATGGCAGATAGTAAGCTATCTCTCAGCCCTGCCCCACAGTTTACTTATGTTACCTCCTTGTCTTTCCCTTGGTGCATCTTCATTTCCCCTAGATGTCATCATTTCTCTGCTCTTTTCCTTTCTACCTTAGATTATTTTACATATAAATGAAACTGGTAGTGTATAATTTGTAAATGCTGCTTAAACTGGGCAAGAGTGTTTCAGTTCATCAGTGTTATTTATATTAGTGATTCACTTGGCTTTTTCAATGATCAGTATTTAATTGAATATTCCAGTTCTCTTTTAAAACAGATTTTATAAATTCTTTGAGAATTTTATAAAACGCCTTTCAAACATATTCCCCCCCAAGTTCTCTCCTTAGCACCACTCAACTTCCCATTCCTTTCCACACAATCTTGAGATTATTTTTTTTTTTCTTTTCTCATTGACTCTAGTTTGTGTTGCTCAGCTGTTATTGGGAATACAGCCTGCTCTGGTATGTGGTCAGCCTACCAGGGGTCACATCATTAAAGAAAACTAACTGTCCCCCTCCTAGAAGCTATTAGTAATAATAGCTCCTAAACTAGTGGTGGGATTACATATCTACTTTCTACTTTGTGTGCTGAATTTTGTCAGGCTGGAACTGCGAGCTTTTGTATCACATGAAACAAAAGAATTGGTAATTTGTTATTCCCAACATATTACTCTATTGTTTCCTTTCGCCCTTTGTTTTGAGCCCTTCTGTGGTAGTCATTGATGTTTCATTTTCTAATTTTGTCCTTTTACTGCATCAAATACACTTGATATTACGGTATTAGCCTTGGCATTAATTAGAGTTCTAGTCCAGGTGTGGTGGCATGTGCATTTAATCTCAGGGAGGCAGAAGAAGCAGGTGGATCTCAGAATTGAAGGCCAGCTGTCTACAAAAACGATTTGCAGGAGAATCAGGGCTACCCAGAGAAACCCTCTCTGTAAACCCCTCCTCCCAAAAAGAAAAAGTTTTAAAAAGACACCTTTAAAACTAGATTCTCCATATAAAAAGAATAATTTGACTAAGTCTGGCTTATTTCACATACTATCTGTGGTGCTGTCTATTTTCCAATAGACATCATGACTTTATTTTTTATGGCTGACTAAGACAATTGTGTATATATACCACCTTTTCTTTATCCATTCATCTATCAGTAGATATTTAGGCTAGTTCCACATTTTGGCCTTTGTGAATAATAGCATGCCTGCAAAGTTCATCCTTTTTGTAATATGTACCAGTACTTCACACTATGTATGGTTGAGTGATGCTCATTGTATGGTTGTGCCACATTTATTATTTATCAGTTGGTGGGGATTTGGGCTGTCTTTACCTTTTGTCTTATTAATGATACTGTCATAGACATTGGTATGCAGCTGTTTGTGTTAATGTTGTTTGTGTATGTCAGAGAATTTACTTCCTGTTCTCATATTCTTTAGCTTGAGCATCTGGCTTTATACCCTTATATATTAGTTGAAATACAAACTGATTCTTTCAAAATGGCAATAAGTACATTCCCATAGGGAGGATGTTGCTTAGTGGTAGAATTCCTGTTTCATGTTTTCAAGGCCTTGCAATCTATTGTAGACATTAAAATGATACCAACAAAAGAAAACTGACATGAATATCTCCTGGTGTACATCTAGTTTTGGTTCATTTATGAATTATTTGAGTTGAGTTCTATACTTTAATTCATCTTTACTTGCCTTGGTTTGGTTACTGTCTTCTCTTTTTGGAGTTCTGGTGGTAGTATGTTATAACTAGTTTATTGGCATTACTCCTCAGCATTAGTAGAATAGAAGTTTATACTATGTAGTAGTGCCAGTAATAGAGCTATGGTTGCAGTAAAATTTTCATCATGAGACAAGCAAGAAAATGTCTTACTAGTTATTTTCAGCATTCCAGTAGCATCTATCTAAATCTAAGAACAGACATGAAATTTGTATTGGGTCACTAATTAAATCTTTTGTCATAAAAATGCCAGTTGAAAAGATAGTCCTTTAAAACAGAATTCAGATGGTGGTAGTGTGTAAGGTGGCTATGACTTTTTACCTACTTTAATAATGCACAGGGAAAAAGCTTATATGGCAATCTCATAAAAGTCTTTTTTGTTTTAGATACAAAAGTTTTGCAGTACTATTTCAATCTGGGATTGCAGGTAGGAATAATACTAACATTATTTTGATAAGTCCTATATATAACAATTGTTTGCCTTGAGAAATCATACTCTTGAACTTTAAAAGCCAAGAACACTATGAATTTCTAACAGGTCTTATTCCTCTCAAGAAATCTCTAAAAATGATGTTGTCAACTTTCTACTTTTTATCATGGCTCTGTTTGCCTTACTATGAAGTAGTGTTAAATTGAAGAGAATAGGGTTGGGCACTAAGCAGCACAACATTATGTATTAGGCTATGCTTTTTATTTAACTTCATATACCAGCTCTTCATTGGCATATACCCAGAATGAATGGATTGTTTATTGTTTACTTAATATCTTATAGAAATTTCTGTATTCTATATGAAAATCAAACTTAGTTCAAAGATATTTAAATAACTTTAAAGTACTAACTTTAGATTCTTTCAAACACTTCCCTGAGTTTGAGAGGCGTACTAGCATTTATCTTGATATCTCTAATAAGTGTTTTGGTTTGTGGAGCCAGGGATTATTTTTCCCTTCAATATATTTCACTTCTAAGTAGTATACCCTATAACCAGATAGCATATTTCCTGACAAAGCATGATGCAGATAGCAAGTGATATTAAACTAATAGTATGTTGGAGAAAGCTAAGGTAATTTGTTGTTTCTTCCAATAATTTCCCTGTGACCTTAGACATCAGCAGATAACCTTTCTCATATAACAAACATCTAAATTAAGAGTAGTAGGGTAGGTATTTGTTGTTACATACTATCTTTTTAAATGTAGTTGTAAGAGTTGATAATTACTTGTCCCTTCGGTTATTGCACTCAAATGTGGAAACTAGGATATATAACACACAAGACCGAGGCATTGAAAAATAATTCTCTTAGCTAGGTATTATGGTACGTGTCTGTGGTCCTATTGACTCAAGAAGCTGAGGTGAAAGGGTCACTTAAACTTGAGTGCAAAGATAGATTGAATAACATACAGAATCTCCTTCTCAAAACAACAACAAAGAAAAAACCAACAACAAAGCCTGGCAGCATGCCTCTTACTTTTAATCCCAGGATTTGATACAGAGGCAGGTGGATCTTTTTGCATTCCAGCACAGCCAAGTCTACAAAATGTGTTCTTTATGTCACAGGAATCATAGGAGAATGATAGATAGCTTAATACTTTTTTCTTTTTTATATTAAATGAAATAGGCTTATAGTGTTCATTATAGTATATTTGGGTAATATTAAAAGCAGTTTTGTAATTTTGGTATATTATAGGTTCTGAATATTTATTAAAAATCTATCATATGTAATTTTCTATTCATTTTCCTTAACATGAGTAGCATTTTTTGTCTTTTTAAAGATTTATTTATGTATATGAATGCTCTGTATGTATCTATGTCTGCCCATGGGCACCAGATCCCATTACAGATGACTGAGCCAACATATGGTTGCTGGGAATTGAACTCAGGATCTCTGGAAGAGTAGTCAGTGCTCTCTTAACTGCTGAGTCATCTCTCCAGCCTGCTTTATTGTCTTTAAATATTTCATAGTGTGACTCTTTGCCTGTGTAGTATTCTGCCATGGATAAATAACAATTATCTCAGCTCTGTATTGGTGAATACTTAGGTTTTTCAGTAGTTTTTACTTTTAAAAAAATAAGACTACAAGCGACATCCTCGTGTACAAGTCTGATCATATCTTTGATTTCTTTGATGATTTCCTAAATGCATCCCTAGGTGTAAGTATGAGCTTACGTGGTATAGACATGAGCTGTAGGTGGTGTAAAAGATCTTAAAATTCTAAGCTTAAGCAAACTTTGTACATATGTGATGGTACAACACCTGAGAATTCTTTAAGCTAGGAATTATCTTACTTTCAGAGTAGAGAACAATAAGGATTTGCAAGCTTTTACTTATACCCTTTCTTGCTCCAGTGCTATCACCACAACTACTGGCACTCCATGGTCTATGTGCCACATGTGCAGGAGGAGCAGCCACAGCAGCTTCATGTAGAGAATTATCCAGATTGTACTGAGCAACCTCTTGTAGACCAAAGTGTTCCTCAATTATACAGTGATGTAGCAAGAGCAGAAGACACACAGGCAGAAGTATCAGCAAATGGTGAGTATATAATGAGATTGCTAGCAAGAAAGTCAGTTGGATTTTATTGTATATAACTTAGTCTTAAGATATTTCATCAAGCTGGGTCTTGGTGGCGCATGCCTTTATTTCCAGCACTCAGGAGGCAGAGACAGGCAGATCTCTGTGAGATTGAGGCCAACGTGGTCTACAGAGCGAGTTCCAGGACAGGCTTCAAAGCAATACAGAGAAACCCTGTCTTGAACCCCTCGCCAAAGATATTTCATCAGATCCATATGCTTTTAGACTATCAGTTATGAAAATGTAATATGTAGTTACATTGTGATCCCTGGGGTTCTTTGAAAGGGAAGGATCTTTGCATGAAGCCAGTGGTATTTTTTCCTCATGTGGTACTGCAGATTGAACACAGGTCTTCATGCATGCATTCTAGGCAAGAAATGTAGCTCTATCTCATTCTTTGACTTTCTTAGTTACTTTTCTATTGCTGTGAAGAGACACCATGGCCAGGTTATCTTAGAGAAGAAAGTTTATTTGGAGCTTGCTTACAATTCCAGAGCATTCATCTTTCTTTGATGATCGTGGTGTGGGGAGCATAGTGGCAGGCAAGATCTTTGTAATTTGATAAAAGTACTGAATTCCCAATTACCAACAGATGTTACCTATACCTAATATATTTGTATGTATAAACTTGTGCACATGCAACTTTTTAATTTGGAACATTTCAGACACTCTTTTGGTAACCTTGTAGAAACTATTGCTCATATCTAAAATGCTCCTGCCAGGACTCAGGAGGCAGAGGCAAACAGATCTCTAGAGTTCTATGTTAGCCTGGTCTACATAGCAAATTGGGGTGTCTACATAGCATAGCAGGACAGCCAGGGTTATGTAGAGAGACTTTGTCCCAAAAGAACAACAAAAACAAAAACCTAGAATTAAAATGTTCCTACTTCCAGTTGCTGTGATCGTTTCACGTGTGGTTGTTTTTCCTGAGGAGTTCAGAAGAAGGTGCCATAGACCTTCTAAAACTAGAGTCACAGATGGTCATGGGTGTTGGGTATTGACCCTGGACCCCTTGAAAGAACAGCAAATTCACTCTACAGCCTCCATGATGTTTAAAAACTGTCTTAAATACATTTATTTGTGTGTGTGTGTGTGTGTGTGTGTGTGTGTGTGTGTGTGTGTGTGTCTGTGTAAGTAAGTAAATGTGTGCCTTGTGTGTGTGTGCATGCATGCTATTGGTTCACATGCTGCACTCAGAGGACAACCCAAGAAAGGAGTCAGCTTTCTCTCTTCACCATGTTGGTCACTAGAATGCTTGACAGAAAGTGTCCCCACCCACTGAGCAGCCAACAGGCCCTGTGTGTGTGTTCTTTCTTATAGTTAATGATAAGTTTAATTTTTATTGCATGAGTATTCATTTACATTTGGTGAGTTTTTACAGTAGAATATATTATATATATATATATATCTTCATTTCAGATGCTTTTCCAGTTGCTGATGCTGTACCTGTCCCTCATGGAGCAGTGTATTACCCTGTAATGACAGATACCTATGGGTCACCTTTGCCAGGTTTTGATTCCTACATTCCTGTTGCATCTGATCATCCCAGTGTTGCCATGTGGCATCCAGTTGGTGCAGCATATGGTGGTTCTGCCCAAATCCATGGTGCTATAAATTCTGGGCCAATTGGCTATATGCTTCTACCTAATTCACCTCATTATACCCCTCAGAGTTAAGATGTGGCAATATGAAATATTCTTTGCTGCCATTTTTACTTTTACGTTGATAAATGTTTTGTATTAGTTCTTTAGTGGTTTAGGTGGTAAGAATGTTCATTGATGTATGACTTTAAAAATTATTTTACTTTTGAAGCAAAATATTGCTTTAAAACAAGGGAATATCGCTTTGTGTTATAAATATGAATGTATATCTAGTCCCTGTAATGAGCAAGTTTATTGTAGGAAGTTTCATGTTAGCCAGCTTGTGAACATTGTATTAACTGGTGGTGCCAATCGATAAAAGAGAAGAAAACATATAAGCAGTTTTCTTATAATATGATACATCTTAATCAACTATTTACAATTGATATGATTTCTACTTTTCCAGAAATTTAGAGAGGGAGAAAAACAAACAAGAGCCTATGCTCTTCAAGTTTCTTTAAAAATTGTAAGAACTGAATTGCAGTCTGATGTTAATTAGTTTTGAAGGGACATGATGTTTTGCTTTACATTTGCCACATATGGTATTGTTTAATACTGGATTTACATAACTGTCCTACTGCACAGTATTATAGTGTCCTTTGCACAATTCGCAGTAAATAAAATTTAGCATTTAAAATTGCCAAAATGAGTGGAGTTTTCTTTTTGTAACAAAGAGGGTACCAGATGTTTGATTGTTTCAACGTGTTTCTCCTGACATTGTGGTTACAAAAGAATGAATTTATTACTTGAATTGGTGAGGAATAGTTGTAAGGACACTTGAAATGTATTTAATTTCAGCCCCATTGCACTAAATACTAGCATATCTTTTTCCTTTCTCTTGAGAATGGTCTATACAGTTGTATTTTTTCAATTAAAATTATTTTAGTTAGCCTAGAAAGTATTGGATTTCCTTATGGCATTTTCAAACATAACTTGTTTTTGTTGGTCCTCCTATTCTTTTATTCTCGCCTGTCTTTCTCTCTGGCCCCTTGTACACTCCCACCTCAGTAGTTTGATTTTTGCTTTCACAGCAATATTCTTTTGTCATTCTTCCCTTCCTCAGCACTGCTGGTATTTTTAAAGCATAGTCAAGATGTATTGAAGGCATTTTGAAACAGATTTTAAGCATATGGGATAAGAGAACGAAAATGATGGATACACCTGAGAGCATGGGTATGAGTTAGCATATTTCTGTTAACTTCCTTATGAAACTTGGGTTACTTGTTTTATTTTCTCTAAGGCAACATTTGTTATTTCTTAGAACTTTTGTGTTTTCAGGTGTGCACTCTCTCTCAAAGCATGCCTGTCTCTGTCTGTGAGACATACTCCACCATCCCCTTTATCCTTTTTTGCCTTTTGTGTATCCAAACAAGCTTCCTATTGACCAGTCCTCTGGGGCTTAATTTGTTCCATGTGCTTTGCTTACCAGACAAATGGCAACAAAAATATGCTTTGGTTGCTACAAAACTTGTTTGCAAATAGTATCTTTTAAAATTTTTCCTTTAAATTATGTTTCTTTATTTTGTATGTGAGTTTTGGATAAGGGTAGATGTGCTTGTAATCACTGCTATATACATGTGTATGTTAGAGGAGTTGTGGGAGTCAATGCTTTTCTTCTAATCTGTGAATTCTGGGGATTTGGTAACATGTGCTTTTATCCATTTGTTTCTGAATAAGTCCCAGGCCCAAACCAAACAAACAGAACAGTAAAACATTTGAGACATTGAGAGGGAGGAGGGAACATATGAACAAGGGAGTTCAAGATCATAATAGAGTGGTCTACAGAAATGGCTGAACCAAGTTGGTGGAAACTCATGGACTCTAGACCTAAAACTGTGGAGACTCCAGGGGACTGAATTAGGCCCTTCATATGTGGGAGACAGTTATGAAGCTTGGAGTATCAGAGGGGTCCCTGGCAGTAGGACCAGGATACAAATGTGGTACATTAGCTAGTGTGCTGGAGCCCATCCCTTAGGGTGAGATGCCCTGCTCAGAGGTAGAAGGACGATGATATAATTCTGGTACATGAGCTAGCTTGTTGTAGCCCATTCCCTGTGGTGGGATGCTGTGTTCAGTCTTAATGCATGGGAGAGGGGCTGGGCTTTGCGCCAACCTAGAATACCTGACTATGTTAACTCCTCGTGGGTGCCCTTATCCGTGAGGAGGAGTGGGAATTGAGGGGGTGGAGTGGGAGGAGAGTAGGAGGGAGAACTGTGGTTGGAATGTAAAATGAAATTGAAAGTGGAAAAAAGGAGCAATCTCAAGCCCTAGGATATTAATTAGGTAAAGCAATTGGGAATGTGAGAAGAGGATTGCGCTAGAAAAGTATAATGGTTGCTACTCTGGAGTAGCAGCCAATGGGAAAGGGAGCCAACATGTCTCACAATTAGCTTCAAAACCACTATCTCATTCCTAATCACTACACCAGCCACTTTTGCTTTTTCTCTATGCTGGTATCCTTCTCTGTGGAATTGTATTTTAAAAACACTTGCCTGGTCAGGACTGGTGCCCTGCATCATTGAGTGTGATTGGGTGATAAATTTCTCTCACTGTTATATTCTCATCTAAGATTCTTGACATGTAATAGGCACAAGTGATGCCATGTTGGGGTTACCAAGGCACCATTACAACTTAAGAGACCAGCATGTGAACCCCAACACCTGCCAAAAGAAGAGCAAAGACATTATAGTCTATAGTTGGGTGAAGTCTCTGAATGTACCAATCTTTATTTTGGCTTCTGTAGCTCTGTTTATTGCTGCTAACTATTCTTGCTAATTGAAGTTTGTTTACTTCAGGACATTTTTTGTGCATAAAAAGCCAAGAATGATAAGTTCATGATTTAGTCATGTTTCCTTTGTAGTCACATTCTCGAGCTTCTCTGGCAAGCACTTTGCTGATGGAGCTTTCCCAAGGCTCACTTTGTACATTTTACCTCTTTATTTATCCTTGACACTAACCAAGTAGTCATTTTAAATTATTGGGAAGACACACAAAAGTTCTGTGGTTGGCTTGGAACTCCTTTCCTGATAAAATCTGGTTATATTAAAGGTAGAAATCTAAGTAATTTCCATAGTAAGAGAAAATTCATTTTAAGCTGTGTATATTTATTCTCAAAACTAATTGTGGCTCTGCCTTAATTAAGAGCAGGTGAAAATATTGAGTCTATATTTTACTGTTGAAATTTAAGACTTGTGAATTTAAAACATGTTTCATTTCCTTGGAGTCTGTAATCAAGGCATAACCATTTAATTATCTTTGGAAATAAAATGTAAACAAACAAATTACATTTTAATGTGAATACTAGACTTTCAAAACTTAATTCAGATGTAAATCTACATGAATTACAAATTGAACTGTTGGGGAGGCTGGTAGAGCTTGAACTGAATCTAGGGTTTTCTAAATGTGGGACAGATGTAATTGTATTTTACATGATAAATTTTTGAAGCATTTTACATTTCCTCTTACAATAAAATTTTAAGAATGTAGTGAAAGCCAATCTAGTTCCCACCCCCTCAGCTTATAGAATATTGAATTTCGATAGAAGCAGCTTGATTTACAATACATGTCTTTTAGCTGACTATCAGTTTTCCTTACAGGACTTGTCAGTAACGTGGAAAATGTAGTTTCAGGAAAAGGTCCACTCAAGTTTAGATAACTACTGTTTGCTTACACTACTTTGGAGTGATTCATCCTTAAAGCTTGTGCTTTACCTTGTGCTAGAAAGATCGAGTAATAAAAGAAAATGCCTTGGAAACTGGAGAAGGTGTTTGCTTGCTTCTGAAGATAGTAAGAGTTCAGAGTTTTTTTTTTTTTTTAAAATGTTTCTATTTTTGTTGTTTGGTTTCAAGAGAGAAAGAACTAAAGTTTGTAGATAGGGTACTGAGGAGGATCTGGGAGGAATCAGGGGAGGGGGAAACATGATCAAAATATATGAAAAAGGTACTTTTAATTAGAAAGTCTTAAATATTGATTTTTAAGGTAGTTATCATAAGGTCCAAACAGATCTTGCTGAGACATCTAGAAGGTTGGGGAAGCCTATCAGTAGTTAACTGAGTTCTTAGTATTTTACACTTCTGTCTAAAACAAAAAGTTTATGTGTCTTCTCAAGGATCTTCAATAACTCGGTGTACTTTTATGAAGTAGATAGTCAAAATTTGTAGTTGAAGTAGAGGTGAGTGAACTATTTTAGGTTTTACTGTTTCAGCTATTAATAGGAACTGATAGCTTTTTATATAAGAACTATAAAATTGATTGTCAGTTATACTTTTCAAAATAGTTTACAGTAGTCGTAAACTACAGTAGCTGGTTAAGTTATAGTGTGAAACCCAATGCTGTCTGTTAACATTTATTAATAGGTATAAATGGTTACATTGGAAAAGGAGGAACAAAACATCTTTATTTCTAAGTAGCCATACATTTTGTGGGAGAAGTAAATGCTTTATTTTTCTTTATACTGAAGCTAAAAACACACAAAATTATTATACAAGATTGTTTTTCACACATTTCAGGTTGACACTAACTTTGCACTTCTTACAGAAGATATCTAAATAAAAGTAATTACTTAGGCTTTAGCTTTTAAAATAATCTGTAGAGCCAAAATGCCATTTGCACAAACACTGAAATGTTTCCTTTCATAAATTAAAGTCAGGAGATGGAATTATAGCCTTAGTTTTGACACAAACATTTTCTGTATGATATGTGAGGCACCACTGACTATAGCCTCTGTTCTAGATTTCCTCTCCCTACTATCAACTGTTAAGTCTATAGCTCCAATTTGCATTCACTGTTTTGACTAAGAAGAAATTTCCAATCCCTGTTTTGTAAAATGTAGAAATAGAATGTGTAAGCAATTAAAATATTTATCTCTTCTTGAATTTACTTCTAATATGCACTCGAAAAGAAAGAAAAAATACATCCATGTATTGGAAAGGTTGTACTTAGTCTTACCTGAACTGAAATGATCTGGACATAGTCTGTTACTGTTGTAACATTGAAATAAGAGAACGTGGCTATATTGTGTTTAAAGGGGGGATTCAAATACGTAAATCTAAAGTTAGTGCTTTATGAAATCATATTCCCTTTTTAACATTAAGTAAATTAATGTAGTTGATGGCTTGGGTTTAGAATTCTCCTTGTGAAGCCACACTGGCATTGATTTTAGTGCATTGGTTCTAGAGGTCATGAAAAACACTAATTCTGACTGCTTCTCCCTAATTGTGCCAGGAACAGTTGTCACTTGTTTGCCTATAGGCAACTGCCCTTGTTGTGGAAGTATAGTGCTATTTGATGAAGCTGGATTTTAAATAAATCGATTAGATCTTATATGGAAATGCCTACTTTGAACGTTGGATTTTGCAGATGACCTGAGAATTTAGCTAGCTGCTTTGTCTCTTTGAGCCTCATCTCACTACATCTGCTACTATGAACATTGAGTCAAAACAGTCCCTTCCATTTCTCTGTAGAATCTTTAGGTTTTTTGCTTTGTTTTTCCTATTACTCCTTCCTGCTAACAACACACTTGCCAGAACCTGAACATGATAAAATGTTGCTTTTGGATTAAGTTGTCAGTTTGTTATTTTAGGCCACAGGAATTCTTGATGTACTTTGTTGTTTCAGGGGTCAAATATTGATCATTC